ATTCTTATACCCATAACGAGCTTTCAGGACAGCCATATGAACACTTGCAACACAAATACTCATATGGTTCCTATTTGAGGAGCATTCATGACATTTTCCACAAACAAGTTAATTAATTTAAAAAAAAGTGCAGAAAGCTAATATGAGGCTATGATAGCAGTGACACAAATGTACAGTTTATATTCAGTCCAAGAGTCTTGGATTCTTTGTTCCAATATTCCTCCTGGTCCATTCTAGAGGGAATGCTCCCAATTCTCTTTGACATCAGTGGGAGTTGAGAGCACCTGGCATTTCTCAGGTGACTTTCAGCATAATTTAGGATTCCTTTATGGCTACTTGGCAGCTTCATTCCTCTGTCGCAGTAGAACTCTCTACAACCAAGGTAAAGCTTGTTGTCTGTGTGAGGAACAAGAACTTTTTCAGGGCCCGGCCTGGGGCTATGAAGTGAACTCCCCCAGTAACTATGGACCATCACAGACCTCCTCCAAGTACAAGGTGTATTTGGCCTGCATGCTCTAACAACTATAGCAACATTTATATTAACTCCCCCATAATGCCCTCCCCAAAAAATCGCTACATTCCAAAACAAAACTCTCCACTGTGCACACTTCTTCCTCTTCATCTAGGGATATGAAGGGAGAACAAACAACATTTGACAAATGTTACCCACCTAATGTGCCACTGGAAGACACACAGATGCTACAGAGTTGAGCATGGAATGCAGACCTATATAGAACAGAATTAGAATATGCTATTCTACCAGAAAGTCTCGGAATCCATGCACAGTTTATGTTAATTGTACAAATTTATACCCCTGTGTGTTTATTCAAGACAGTACTTTGTTCACATATTGTGATATTGTACCAGCAGTGATTTCTGAAGGATGTTCATTATCACCTCTCCATTTATCTTAGGTTTAGGTTCTCAAGATTGAGATTAATGACCTAGAGCATTAAGGTGAAAGACGCATTCTAGCTGGCATATGTAACAAATTAGTTAATTAGATTGGAACGTCTCTGACGATAGTTGTGTTACAAAGTAAACACACGCTAGTTCTGCTACAGTGGTTGTTTCCCTTATTACTGACAATCCTAACAAACATTTTCTACTACAACAAACATATTGAGGACAATATTCAAAGCCAAGCAGTTGTATTTGTTTTCATCATTGTTAAATCTTTTCTTTAAAAAAAATCACTTCATCGTAACATTTCTTCCTTCCTGTTTTTTCCTGATCTTTGTTTATTTGTTGAATGTGCAGAAATGCAAACACTTACTTATTACTAAAGCTAAGATTCAGGTATTTTTAGCAGAAGTCATAGACAGGGCAACAAATGAAATTCATGGCCCATGACTATGACTTATCTAGAAATACTCCTGATTTAAAACTTTCCGTTCCTGAGACTCTGAGGGGCTCCAGGACATGGCTGCTCCGGGAAGCCTGGGAACCAACTACAGCTTGTGCCCAGCCACCTGCTGATTTGAGGCCACTGCGATCACTGCTTCTCCAGGACCACTGCCACCCTTGGACTGCTCCAAGAGCTACCCCAACAGCTGGCCTCAAGGCCAGATACTTAAGCAGCCCTAGGAACTGCAACTGCAGAAGTCCCAGAAAGTCTCCGTCTGCATGACTTCTGTGACCTCCATGATAGACTTGCAGCCTTTATTATTACTTGCTGACACATTGTGTCTTGTGCTCTCCCCCCTCCAATCTCTAACTCTGTATTCCTCTGTTGTCCCTGAGGTTACGGTAGATTGCAAGCCCTTGCAGGCAAGAACTGGGTAATTCGGTTCTGTGTTTACAGCATCTAACACCATAGGGTTGTGGTCCATGACGAGGGCTTCTTGGTGCTAAGAAACACAAATAGTAATAATAATGCTAGGTGTAGTGTTGACGGTTGACATCCATTAGAGCCATGGTAGCAAGCGCTAACCCAGATAGTGTTTGCGAGATCTCACCTTTAGCATGAATGTGATGTGAATGAACAGTATCAGTCTAAGAGGCCTGAAGATCTGAACACATTATGGCATCCTCTGTGTACAGATCACAGTGATTTTGGAGACACACGTGGTGATCTGAAAAGCTAGGAGAGGTAAATAATGGTGTCCCCCAGGGGTCTGTGCTGGGATCAGTGCTTTTCAGCATATTCCCATATGATCTGGAACAAGGGGTGAATGCTGAGATGGGAAAATTTGTAGACAATGCAAAATTATTCAAGATACTTAAGGCCAAAGCAGACTACAGCCTCTCTCTGACTTACGAACCGGTTACGGACCAAGCAATTGGTCGGAACTCGGTTTGTTCGTAAGTCAGACCCCATAGAGTTACACGCGACTGCGCTGTTCGTAACTCGGGGTCCACCATTTACAACAGTTTTGGTCGTAACTGCAAACAGTCATAAGTCGACCGTTCGCAACTCGGGGACCGGCTGTACAAAGAAGTACAAAAGGAACTTGCAAAACTGGGTGACTGGGCAGCAAAATGGCAGATGAAACTCAATGTTGATAAATGAAAAGTCATGCTTATTAGAAAACATAGTCCCAAGTATGAATATAAAATGATGGGGTCTAAATTAGCTGTCACCAATCGAGAGAGATCTTGGAGTCATTGTGGATAGTTTCTGAAAACATAGCCCGTGCGTGACAGAAGATGGATCACTTTTATCCACTCAGTATGCTGACACAGTAAAAAAGACAATGTTGGGAACCATTAGGAAGACGGTTGATAGTAAGACAAAAATATTCTATAGTCTGTCCATAAATCCATGATATCCCCCAATGTGAATACTGAATGCAGATCTAGTTGCCCCCATTTAAAATAGATATATACTTGAATTGGAAAAGAGACAGAGAAAGGCAACAAATATTATTTGGGTATGGAACAGCTGCCATATGAGGAGAGATTAAAAATACTGTCTTTTCAGTTTGGAAAAGAGACATCTAAGTGGGGGTATGATAAAAGTCTATAAAATCTTGACTAGTGTGGAGAATGTGAATAAGGGAATGTTATTCACTCCTTCACGTAACACAAGAAATTCTAGTCATCCGATGAAAATAATTGGCAGCGGGTTTAAAACAAACGAAAGGAAATACATCTTAATACAACAGACCATCAACCTGTAGAGATCTTTGCCAGAGGAGGTCAAAACTGTAACAGAGTTTTTAAAAAAAGGACTAGATAAATTCCTGAAGGATAGGTCCATCAGTGGCTATTAGCTAGTATGAGCAGGTGTATTCTGTACATGCACCATGTGCTGCACGTACCTTTGCTTGCCATAAGTTAGGAGTAGTCAACAGGGAATGGATGATTGCCTGTTCTTTTCATTCCCTCTGAAGCACCTGGCATTGGCCACCATTGGTGGGCTAGATGGACCATTGGACTGACTCAGTACAGCTGTTCTTATGTCCAGTAGGACAACAGCCATTTGCTGCACTATAATATCAAGCTTACTTGTTGTATATGAAAAAGCATTTCCAAAACATTGTTTAAACAGGACAATAGCTGTCCTGGCAGAGTAGCAATCCTACCTTTCCCACAGAAATCATCCATTGAGAATTGTAAAACAGGTACACAGGAACCATCATCCTGGAAGATATTAATAGCCCATGGATATACTGTGATGATGGCCTATTTTAGATGCTATAATAGGGAGTAGGTATAAAGTAAAGTCATCTGGGCAAGAGAAAGCCAGAGCCAGATTCTTTCCTAATGTCGCTTCATTGACTACAGAGGGATTATACCACGGATGGTCCCCAGTCCCTGCTGTTTGTAAATCAGAGCTGGACCTTCTCTGAAACTTCTCTCATGACCTTTCTCTCTCTCTTTTCTTGGTGGCTTTCTCCTTTGAGATATATCATGTTCACCAGTTTAATTTTTATTAGAGGGTTTTGTTGCACACACCAGCATGGACATAGTCCCTATGGCCAAAATATCTCATTGCTAAGGGGGAAAAAGTATAGCTGGCCTCTTTAGGGAAGCATTAGAGATGTGTGTCCTAACTAAGAGCTGCTGAAATAGAAGGCAGAGGCATAGTCTACACAGAGTGCAGTGTCGAAACTCACCCCTTTTTTTGGGAGGCATTAGCTTTATTAACACAGAAATTAACACTAAAACAATGCACATTCAGCTCAAATCTTTTCCCAAGGCATGGGTATTCTGAGATTCCTCTGTTCAGGCTGGTCAGCCCATACACTACATCATCCATCTCTCTAGAGTACAACTCTCACCCCTTATGTAGAGCTGGTAAAGTGAACCATCTCCCTCAGTCAGGCAGCACAACCCACTTAACATATTCTCAACAAGATCAAAATCTGCCAGCAGGGTGTCCATCCTCCAAAGTTGAGCTGTAATTCACCTCTGAGAGCTGTAATTCACCTCTGAGAGTAGCTTGGGAAAGAGCCCATCCTGGAAAATTAGGGAAAATAATGGTTTTTCTACTGCCTTTCCTTGTATGTGCTTGTACCAAGTGGTTGGAAAATACTAGCCATGTAAATGAGAGGAGAATTTTCAGTTGGCCCAGTAGTGTGTTAGACTCATCCTCCATGCATGTAAATGCCTATACTTATGCAAGCAGTAGAGTGCACAGCTCAAAGACCAGGGAGACGCTCCTGCCTGGTAGGCCTGGCCCTGCATTTTGAGTAGAGTCACAGTGCACCCTTGAAAGAGAGGAGTGACTTAGTTTGTTTCAAAAACACAAAATGTGTATTAGGGTCAATTTTTTGTATATAAGGGAAATGACCCAGGAACCCACTAGCACTTGAGTGAGGCTAGGAAGGCCACTCTGCATTCATTGCATTTCCTTAAATGACTGACTTAGGACTTTCTGCAGCTGTGGAGGAATCTGTTGTGCCAATTTGGGTAGGTTCTAATTAAAATGTGGCACTCACCTGCAAAGGTAGGTCAGTTTGCAGATAAGGATACTATGTAAGTCATACTCTGTTACTACTGCTTCAATTGTTAAATGTGTTGGTAACAACCTCTTTTGTTTCCAATACCCCTAGGGTGAAGAAACTGGAAGGGACCTTTGCTGTCATACAGCGGTTAGATAAAACTATGAGTAACCTGCGCACCTGGCTGGCTCGCATTGAGGCGGAGCTTTCCAAGCCTGTTGTGTACGACATCTGTGATGACCAAGAAATCCAGAAAAGACTTGCTGAGCAGCAGGTGAGGAAATCATAACATGTGAAATAAATGGACTCCAGTATCACAGATTGTGATCGGTCCCAGTGCTTAAAATCACCCCTTTCCTTTCCTTTCTGTAGACTTTCTGTTTACATTTTGAGCTATTGTGTTTCCTGCTAAGATGAGACAAGGTAGGCAAAATACTATATTTTATTAGACCAGCTTCTGTTGGTGAAAAAGAGACAAGTGTTTGAGCCCTACAGCACTCTTCTGTGTGAGAATGGTACTCCCAATGTTACAGCAAAATGCAAGGTGGAAGAGATTGTTTAACATGAATAGAATATATGGAAAGGACCACTCAAAATATCTTTGTTCGGAGTGGTGTCTATTCAGTCTGATTTCTGTTGCTCCTAATAAATTTAAGCTCCTAGGCTTGTTGAAATGGTTTGGCAGCTATGGGTTTGTTTGGGGTTTTTTTGTCTTTTAGCATTCTTTTCTGGGGAATAAAAATTAAAAACACAGTCACCTCTGAGTGAACACTTTTCTATATCTGAGCTGTCCATCCTCATCCTTGAAACCTGCATAACACTTTAAAAAGATGAACTGGGAAACTTAAATTTATTACTCTTCTAGACACTAAAAATCATGGACTGAACAGAAACACTGGATTTATGGCTTATTTATGGCCTCTTTTTATCCTGTGACTGGAGAGGTATTAATGGGCCACTATACCTTGAACAATCTCTTACATTATGTGCTATTTATGCTTAAACAACCTGTTTCACATGCATTTTGTGGTGGTAGTGAGACTACTGTTTCCAAACCTGAAGAAGAACCATTTGTGGCTTGAAAGATTGTCTCTCTCACAAACAGATGTTGGTCCAGTAAAAGATATTACCTCACTCATCTTGTCTCTCTAAGCCCGCATCTCCACTTGCGGCACCAGAGATCCATCTTCTTGCATTCTATTTAATGAGTCTAGGAAAGACCTGCTAAATCAAATATTGAGGGTGCCCTGGAGAGCACTGGTACTCCTCATTTCACGAGGATCAAGGAAAGCTGATCGGAGCATCTGCTCCCATCGGCCTCCCACTGTAAGGACAGCACCAAGCTCTGCTTAAGTTATCTCGACTCCAACCCATGTTATTTATGTAGCTGGAGTTGCGTACCTTAAGCTGACCTTCCAGGTCTTGTACAGAGCTGGTCTAAAATCCTAAGACTGAAATGGCTACAACACTGCACTTGACAGAGTGTGTTGGACTCAGTTTAAGGGGATTTAATATTTAGCGAATATTTTTTGGAATTTAAATACTATAAAAACAAAAAACCCACAGAATCCTTTCCCTTTCAGTTCTACATTGGCTTCTGTGTCATGGTCATTACAATAAGTACCTGAGCACCTTCCAGTAGCTCATTCAGCAATGTGACTATACCTCTGTCATGTTATTTGTTCTCTCATCCTCTTCCCCTTGGAGGAGGCTTTGCTGGGCTAATGACAGCAGATGCTTCAGGGCTAGACAGTGACTTAGACTTTGGACCATGCACAGGAATAGGGGATTGAGTGAACCCCTCTGCATGGAGTATCTTGACCCATTCCTGTTTGCATGCTTCCCCCAGGGCAGATAGGCAAGAATTCCTTGCAGGAATGAGCAGGGCCTTAACAAGCCAGCTAACACAGCTGAGTTGATGTTAGGAGGTTAAGGCAGAGCAGGGGCTGTATTACTGCACTCACCGACTGGGTGCATTGGGGAAGCAGTGAGGAACTGTGGCTCAGAGGAGTGTCTCTGAGTCACAGCACCTCCTGCGGCTACTGCTGGAGCAGAGCAATTTATACGTCCTCACCCCTTGCTTGTAGCTGTGCCAAAAGCACAGTCTAGGCTGAAGTGTTTGCACATATTAAACATACATGCCGCGGTGGGGCGCAGATCCTACAATTTTACTCTGACCATCACCATAATAGGGGCATTTACCCTAAGACTTCCTGCCCAAAATGGAGGCTAACAGATTTGCCTGCAAACAAAATACATGACTGCTTAAGCCCTCTTTCCCCATCTCATTGTCTGTCCCTTTGTGTCTGAGGAAAAACTACTTCGACTAGCCCAGATTGTTCAATTATACAATAGCTAACATCCTCTGTCATGTAACCGGACAAAATATTGTTGGTTACAAAACTACTCAATAGTCCCCAGGGGTAGGGCCGGCAGCCAGTGTGCTCCTGGCACCACTCCCAGAGAGACCCCTGAAACCCTGCACTGCTGCCTCAGTATCAGAGGCAGCAGGGGGAGCCGGTCCGCCAGGGGAACCAGTTTAAAAACCAGCTTCCTGCCCGCCGCCCCACATTGCTGCTTCTGATACTGAGGCAGCAGAGTGGAGTGGCAGCAGCCCCTGTCTGTGGGAGGGTCCGAGCTCCCCACAGACAGAGGCTTCTTGGCAAGGAGCTCGGGCCCTCCTGGGAAAGGGGCTGCTACTGCAAAGTAGCCTCTGCCCGCACCCACCGCGGACAGAGACTGCTGGGGGACAGGTGGCACAGCGGAGCCAGTGCTGGGGGGAAACAAGCTTTTAAGCTGGCTCCCCCCAGCACTGGCTGCTGCTTCTCCTCCCTCCCCATTGCATCTGATACAGTGGCAGCAAGGGACAGGATGCAAGTAGTCAACAAGATTAACTGATAAGTTTGGGCATTTTTGTACTCTGCATGTTTACTGCCTCCTCATTTACTACATTTTAGCTTCAGAAAGGTAGCCATATTAGTCTGTAAACTTAAAAAAATGGCACTGTAAAGACTAACAAAAATATATAGAATCATGAGTTTTCAGCATGATTCTGTTTTTTGGGGGGAGAGGGAGCCTCGAAGGTGCCACAGGACTACTTGTTATATTTTAGTTTGTCTTGCCACCCTAATGAGAATTAATATCATTTTAATTAAGCACTTGTGATAGCGGCAAGGATTCTGGCTAAAGATATTATATGAACCCAAATACAATTGACAACAATAATACTTTGGTAATATCCTCAAGACACTTTTGTATTAATAGTTGGGTTTTTTGTTGTTGTTTTTAACTTTGTGGGCAAGATTCTGATCGCAGTTACATTAATATAAGTCCAGAGTGACGTCGCTTAAGTCAGTCGCAGATTTACAGCAACATAACAGAGTGTGTAAGCTGTCCCTGTGTACAGGCCATAGATCCAAAATACAAGGCCTCTTCTTGTGTAGAGAGACTAGCCTTAGAATACACAGTAACCTATTGAAATCCTGTGCTGAATCTGTTTTTAGCATCTGTATAAGCAGGGCTTGACAAACCGCGGCGAAATCTACTCACCAGACCCGCATTGCGCATGCACGCATTGCCGGTAAACGGGGCGACCGGCTGAAATCTACTTGCCATGGGCGAGTAGATTCACTAATTTGTTGAGCTCTGTGTATAAGGATTATTGCTCTTACCATGCAGAAAACCCAGACATACAGGCAAACATAACAGAATCACAGAGCAGCTGACTTTTCCACGAACAGGAAGAGTGTAACAACATTGCAGTCAAACACGGGTTGGATTTGGACACTCATGCTGAGCAGTGTGTTAGTCTGGGCTAGACTGTGATTTGCACTGCATGCACCCACACAGGAGTAACACAATCCCCCTCTCCTGCTCCTTATATCTTTAACTTGCTCTGGGTCCAGGTGCTGAGCTGTCTGCTTACTCCCTCCATGGAGTGGGTGGTTAATGTCAGGACAGACTAGGGATGTTAAATTTTGTTTAATCAACTGATCGACTAGTCGATGGATTTTTCCATCAACTAGTCGATAAGCAGCAGAGCTGCTGTATCTGGGAGCTAACCCCTCTGTGGCTCCGCCTTTGAAATGTATTAAGAGCCACCGGGCTCTTGATACATTTAAAAGGCTGCAGCATAGCCGGGGGACCCAGTGCAAGCCAGGCTTGCTGATTCCTGGCTTTCACTGGGTGCCCCTGCTGTGCTCCAGCATTGAAATTGTAAAAAGGTTGGAGTGCAGCAGGGGACCTGGCGTGAGCTGGAAATCAGCTGGTCTGGCTCGCGCTCAGTCCCCCCCACTGCACTTCTGATTTTTTTAATGTATTAAGAGCTGGCAGGCTCTAAACACATTTAAAAAGCAGATGCACAGCATCCGGGACTGGGCGCAAGCCGAAAATCGGCTGATTCCTGGCTCACGCCTGGTCCCCACTGCCTCCTGCCTCTCCTGCCCCCCGCAGCGATCGTGCTGGGGGAACCAACTTTTAAACTGGCTCTCCATAGAGGCAGTAAGAGTGGGAAAGTGACAAGTTGAGAAACTAGTTGACTATTCGATAAGGCTTTGCTTATTGGATAGTCAACTAGTCGCTTACACCCCTAAGACCGAGCCTTGATTCTATTTTCTCACTCCTACTCACAGAAGCTGAGCCCTTGGGGAACTGCAGGGATAGTCAGTACTTAACTGCTGGTATAGGCCACCAGCAGATTACTACACTCCAGCGTCAAGGAGGAATCAAGGTAGAATTGTGCCTCAAAGTGATGACTCAGCACAAATCTACAACCAGGAGAGCATAGCTTGTGTATGCTTGCTTAGTTACAATCTAGCCCTCTGTGAATAGTCCCATTGAAATCAATGGGGCATCGCAAGGAGTGATTCACAGACAGTGTGAATAAGGGCAGCAGAATTTGGCCCAAGAGGTTCAAGTCACATTGGACATTCTTGTCTATGTGATTACTTAACAAACTCGACAGATTTGAATTTTAGCAAGATACAAACAAAACTCAGACACTAGTTAGGGTTCTGACAGCCTCAGAAAAAAACCTCTCAGAGTGGTGTGTAGGATATCATAAATCATTATTAATAGCATCAGCTTTTCATCAGCTTTTCATTAATTCCAGGAATATTTTTGAATGTAAAATAATGTATGTACTTTAACTTTGGTTATTCATAGCTTAGCTCTGCTTTCAGATATGCATGCTAACATTTTGAAAAACTGTTCATCTTTTATTAATTCCTGAGAGAGTATTCCTTTAAGTCACTGTGTTCTGCTCTCTTCCTGAGTGTTCTCCCTGGGCTGTCAAATGAACAAAATCAGCAGTGGATTTCGTGTTCAGGAGTGCTGGTGGAATTGGCATTATCATTTAATGGGACTTCCCATTGACATTGTTTGATAGAATGTTCCTTTATTCATGTTTGCTTGTGTTGCAATAAGGTTCCAGCAGAGTCACTGAGTCCTTGATAATGAAGCCAGAAATGGGTCATAACAATGGAAATATGGTTAAATATTAATTAAATAGTATTTCCTAAGTACCTACAGTTGTGCAAGGTGACTTCTTAAGTGCTTTTCAGTTGATGTTTTTTTTCCCTCTGGCCCTGCATTTAGATCCTCTACTGCATATTCTGTATTTGTTACATTGGTCTCAATAGGAGTTGCTCATTATGGGACAAGTGCCACATATACAATGGAAGTACATACTCTGGAGAAGAAATACATAGTGCAGATGGCTGAAGAAAACTTTTCTTTACATTTTTAAATCATATTGTGGGGTAGATCAGGAGTGGGCAAAATCAGGCCTGGGGGCTGGATGTAGCCCGCCAAGCATTTCTCTTCAACCTGCCCAGCTGATTAGCAGAGCATGCATACTTACAGCCAGCAGCATGTGTTCAGCCACCCCTCCCCCTACCTTGCTTCATTCTGCAGCAGCCGAGCTACTCCCAAGGTTCTCCCGCTAGCTGTGCAGAGCGGGGGCTGTTAGAGGGCAGAGAGGAGTGCTGAAGTCAGGGTGTCCCCCTGCCTCTGCACCCCATCTCTGCAGAGCAGGAGTCTGGGAGATGGAGAGACACAGCTCGGCTCCAAGCAAAAGCATGGATGGTAAGTGACTCAGAGGAGTGGGGGAGGAGCGAGGGGAGGAGATAATAGAGCAGGATGATTTCCCTTAAAGAGACAGGGGGTGGCTTGTCTCCGAAACTTACCCAGAAGCAGTCAGCGTGCGCGCTCACACACACACACACAGTTTGTGCCACACTGTCTCTGTGCCCCCCATACACAGTCACTATCACATACACACTGTTGCACACACTCAGTCTGTGTCACAAAGTCTTTCTCTCACACACAAAGTATCTCTCACATTCACACACTATTTTGTCTCTCTCTGTAGGCCCCAGCCCCACCCATTCTAGGGGGCCCAGAGGTGGCCACGTACCAAAATTCATGAAGTGCCCTCCCCCCGCGAAAATTATTGCCTACACTTAGGGTAGATGATCACAAAGGAAAGATGTAGAGAATCGTCAAGTATAGTGCTTTGGCCGCGTGACAGAGCGTCCCAAGGACGAAACCAGGCAAGAGTCCTGAGCCAACAATAACAACATCTGCCTAAGTCAATGACCTTCGAGAATGCTGTTTTTGTGACTGGGAAAAAGCAGTTTGGGAAAAAGCAGTTTGTAAACTTTTAAGGGTATAAAGGTAGTTGTAATCTTGCAATAAAATGATTTCGTGCTTGCACCGGCCGGAGTCCGTGCCTTCATACACCACAGAAAGACCTGAAAAACTGCAAACGTGACTCTGGTTTATGCCGCTCTGGTAACATCATAAACTGCAAAAGATCGGCGTGAATTATGCTCTTGCATTCACTGAAGTCATGAATTATTCTGTGCGTTCACCGCCACAGTTTACAGTAGAATGAACCAAGAAGGATATACTGTCTGATACTGTAAAACAAATACGTGTATCTTTACATTTTTACAACATATGGCTTGGATTTTGAATAGGTATTAAACTTGTCTAAATTATTAATGAAGATAGTGAACTTTCACTGAGAAGTTAAATGGGAAGAATGCACTTTCTCATGCTCTCTGATCTCCTCTTTCAGTTTGTCATTTGTTCAACACATTCTGAAAGTTTCTTAATTAAAACTAAAACTGCATTTACTGCACCAGTGATCACTCTTCCCTATCTTTAATAACCTGTTCCGAGGGAACGTGTCTGTTTAATTGCTTATTAATTAAACTCTTTTTATTTCCTAATCACAGGATCTGCAACGAGACATTGAGCAGCACAGTGAAGGGGTAGAATCTGTGTTTAATATCTGTGAAGCCTTGCTGAGTGATTCAGATGCTTGTGCTAATGAGACGGAATGTGACTCCATCCAGCAGACTACCAGGAGTCTGGACAGACGATGGAGAAACATTTGTTCCATGTCTATGGAGAGGCGAATGAAGTGAGTTCTTCTCTCTCGTTTCTAGGACATGTATGGAACAGTGCAGTGTTTCAGAGAATTTTCTTGCATTTTTTGTTGACCAGATTTTGAAAAGAGAAGCAAAAATTGTTGAGACATGGTTGAGCTAAGCTTGAAATAAAGCGGAGCCTTTCTTCCCTCCTCTCCCCCCAATTCAATTTCCCACCCACTCAGAATTGAGGAAACCTGGCGCCTGTGGCAGAAGTTTTTGGAGGACTATTCTCGCTTTGAAGACTGGTTGAAATCAGCCGAAAGGACAGCAGCTTATCCCAACTCTTCAGAAGTTTTATATACAGGTGCCAAAGAGGAGCTGAAGAAGTTTGAGGTGAATGCTTTTCATTTCAGCTACTGATATTTCACAGGCATCATGTGTGCTTATCAAGCAAGCTGCTTCTTGCTAATATAAAGCACCTTTCATCTGAGCCTCTCAAAACTTTGTATAGACTTCACAACTCTTCTGTGAGATAAGGGAGTACTATTACACCCATCTTTCAGATGGCTAACAGAGGGACAGAGAGGTTAAATAACCTCCCCAGCATTAGACAGCAAGTCAGTAACAGAGCTGAGAGCAGAACCCAACATTCATAATACTTATTTGCTCTAATCGGAGGTGGTGCTAGCCCACTGGGAGGCATAAGCAGGAATATTTTGGGGGCCCCCATCACATACTAATAATGAATAGGGGGTTCCCTTGAGCAGCTATGGGCTGTAAGCACCACCTCTTGCCCTTACAAATAGACATGTCCCTTGTATTAGTCCCTGGCACCAGTGTTTGAATTGCTTTAGACACATTTTCTCCAAGTATTTGATAATCCTCAAAACAATCCTTATTAGTAGATTATTAAAAGCTAAATTTTATTTGCCCATGTAGCTCAGCTGTTTTGCTTATAAAAGTCTGAGTGTGCAAATTATTATATATCACATGTATTTTGAATCTGAGCATTTATTTTCAATTGGACAAGGAACTGTAAGAGACTAAGTTCTGTAAGTAGGAAAAACTGCATTTGTGCACTTGCTTCTGTGACTTCAGTGGGAGCTGCATTCATACATCTGAGGGTAGGTTGTGATTGTGGCACATCGGAGGGTAGGTAAGGACCTGGGGATTACAGTGGATGAGAAGCTGGATATGAGTCAACACTGTGCTATTGTAGCCAAGAAGGTGAATGGAATATTAAGATGCATTAGGAGGAGCATTGCCAGCAGATCCAGAGAAGTGATTATTCCCCTTTATTTGGCTCTGGTGAGGCCACATATGGAGTATTGCATCCAGTTCTGGGGCCCCCATTATAGAAAGGGCATGGACACATTGGAGAGGGTCCAGCGGAGAGAACCAAAATGATTAGGGGGCTGGAGCACGTGACCTATGAGGAGAGGCTGAGGGATTTGGGCTTATTTAGTCTGCAGAAGAGAAGAGTGAGGGGGGATTTGATAGCAGCCTTCAGATTCCTGCAGGGAGGTTCCAAAGAGGATGGAGAGAGGCTGTTCACGGTAGTGACAGATGGCAGAACAAGGAGCAATGGTCTCAAGTTACAGTGGGGGGGGGTCTAGGTTGGATATTAGGAAGAACTATTTCATTAGGAGGGTAGTAAAGCACTGGAATGGGTTACCTAGACAGGTGGTGGAATCTCCATCCCTAGAGGTTTTTAAGTCTCAGCTTAACAAAGCCCTGGCTGAGTTAAATAATTGAGATTGGTCCTGCTTTGGGGACGGGGCTGGATTTGATGACCTCCTGAGGTCTCTTCCAGCCCTAGGATTCTATAATAAAAGATGATCCAGGTTTTGATGGATTTTGAGGCTCTGATTATTCTGTTCCATGATTGCAGTATTTTATCCATCCTTTCCCTGAAGTGCAAAGGGATATGATTACCGATTTTGCATTACAGGCATTTCAACGGCAAATTCATGAGCGACTCACTCAGCTGGAGCTAATCAATAAACAATATAGGCGGCTTGCCCGGGAGAATCGTACAGATTCAGCCAGCAAACTGAAACAGATGGTACATGAAGGCAACCAGCGCTGGGACAATCTGCAGAAGCGGGTTGCTGCCATTCTAAGGAGGCTGAAGGTAATTGCAGGCTGCTGTGAGGGTTAGGGCATTGCCAGGCCCATGGAGGAACACTGAGCGCAAATTTGTTATCAAAATGCTTGTCATCTACATGGTTAGATTTCAGAAGTATAAATTGTGACAAAGTCAGACCGGGTGGCTGCAATAGAGTGGGAAAAGGTAGCCCTAGCAGGGTAAAAGGCCATTAGAAGTGGGTTACTGCAGGTCACTTAGGATCAGCTAAAAAGGAGTTATCTCAAGCAGATTAGGATCAGCTGAGACAGGGCTACTTGGGACCAACTCTGATCAGCTGATTCCATTTCATGGCTGCCCAAGGCCTTTTTAAACCTTCCCCTGTAGGGAGAAAGGGGGAGGAGGAGAGAAAGAGGCACACATACTCAAGCAGCTACTAAGTCAGAGACAGCCAGGGGAGGGAGCACATTCAAAAGGGGAGGTGGAGCTCTCCCTATGCTAGAGAAGGGGATGAGCCTAAACCTCTGCTAAGGGGAAGGCATGCTGCCCAGATGCGGCAGACAGAGGGTGTTTTACCTCAGGCCTATCTCACTAAGAGGAAGAAGGGCCCTTGCCACAAAATGCAAAACCCAAAGTATGTATAAGTAGCAATAAGGCTGGAACACAAACCAGCACAATCAGGCAGCTCAAAATAAAGTTGACATTTGCCCCGGGTTTTATGCCGGGATGTCAATGGTTAACTTTATCAGGTGATAGTTACCGCTTAACTGGTGGCTCCACTGGGCTGGAGCAGCCCCTGCCTGCAGTGGGCCTGGCTTTACTGGAGCAGCCCTCCACACCGCAGGTGAGGCGTGTACCAGCCCGACAGGAGCAGCTCTTGCTTGCAGTAGGGGACCACTCCAGCCTGGCCCGCCTACCCTCATTTAAATGGTTAACTGATTAAATGGGATTTTATGTTCATAGTTCTGTGCTGCACAAGGTTTCCACTTAGTGCAACAGACAACAAGGGATGAAACAAGGCAGCCTGTTCCAGCTCCCTGATTTTCTGGGTGGTTGTGCTCTTGCTCACAGGGTTAGGGCAGCCTGGGAGCTGTTCTACTCGAGGTGGCAGTGGTCCCCTAGGCACCATTGTGTTCCTGGCACACCCCGTCCCTCACCTCTGATGCTGCTGCAATCAGGGCAGGAGGGAGAGGGCCTCATACAGGAGTGAGGAACAAGAAACTGGCTGTATTGGGTTAGGCTCAAGGTCAGTTTAGCTCCATGTCCTGTCTTCTGACAGTGGCCATTGCCAGGTGCCCCCGAGGGAATGAACAGAACAGACTATCATCACGTGATCCCTGACCTGTCACCCATACCCAGCTTCTGGCAAATGCAGGCTAGGGACACCATCCCTAAAAGCCATGGATGGACCTATCTCCCATGAATTTATTTAGCTCTTTTTTGAACCCTGTTATAGTCTTGGCCTCCACAACATTGTCTGGCAAAGAGTTCCATATTGGCACTGTGTACTTCCTTTTGTTTGTTTCAGTAAAGTGCAACCATCAGGGTATGTAAGTTACCAGTCAGTGTGTCAGGACACTGCATAGGGAGGCCCCTGGGCGGTATTTGCCTGAACAAATGGATCGGCATTAACCATTGCTGCTGGGAGGTGAAGAGCAGGGGAGTAATAGGCAATGTTTTGGAGAGCATGACTTTCACCACTCCCCCAGGTATACAACAAGGGATGAAACAAGGCAGCCTGTTCCAGCTCTTCTGCCGCTCCTCAACACAGCATCCTTATGTGACTGTGTTCATGGCACATGCTGCGCTCTGCTTACTTTCTGCCATGGGTTGCGAGCATTTGCTTGGATTTTTTTCATTTCCCTTATGAACCACTCTTTAGTCTGAGTGGCAATCCTGATACTAAACAGGGCTACAGGGCTTATTGAATGAAGCATAGGCCTGTTGTATCACAAATAGGACTACATTTTTCATGGGCAAAAGCATAGCTATGAACACATTTTACACAGCATATACCACCCTGTCTTAAACACGCCCTTTTGGGCTTTCAACTCCCTCACACTAATTATTGGGGTACTTTCAGCACTGGAGTAAGTCAGTGCCTGTCCACTAACTTAATTGGAGATGCACCTGTCTGTTCCAAGACTTGAATGTAACTCTTCATGTCTTTCTGCATTTAGAGGACTTGGTCCTGAGGTTCAGCTGAATTGCAGAGTACAGCTTGGGGCTAGGGTACAAAGGAAGCTTAAAGTTCCCTCCCCAGATCCTGGTGTAGTATTGTACAAAGCTGCTCTAATTTATGCTGGTTTGTGACAGGCCCAAAGAGTGAAAATGTGCAAGGTATAGTGAAGGGGCATACTGGCCACACCCCTTTCTTCAGCCATACCTCCTTTTTCTAGCTGTGTGAGCCACAATGGAGGGAAGCCACGAAAGACTAAGGATGTTACATTTAAATTTATCAACTAATCAAATAGTCAATGGAATTTGTATCAACTATTTGGTTCGACTATAAGGGCACCTCCACCTTTGAAGTGTAGCAAGAGCCCTGCCGTCTCTTGCTGCATTTCAAAGGTGAAAGCACTGCGGGTGACACGGCCAGCGGGGGACTTAAGCAGCCCCCCCACTGGCCCCACACTCCCACCAGCGCTTTGCTTTTGAAATGTAGCAAGAGCCCTGCCGTCTCTTGCTGCATTTCAAAGATGAAAGCACTGCGGGGAACACGGCCAGCGGGGGGCTTAAGCAGCCCCCCCACTGGCCCCACGCTCCCTGCTTTTGAAATGTAGCAAGAGCCCTGCCCTTGTTCCATTTCAAAGGCGGAAACGCCACCAGTTCCCTGCTGCGCCCCTGCTCCTTCTCCCCATGGAGATGGAGCTGAGAGGAACCAGCTTTTAAGCCAGCTTCCCTCAGTACTGGATACTGCTTCCCCCACCTTGTTACCTCTCTGATAAATGCAGCAAGGGTGGGGAAAGTGACTAGTCGAGTCACTAGTCGACTATCTGATAAGCATTTGCTAGTCGCTTACATCCCTACTGTGGACACCAAGAGACTCGCTCTAATACTTAGGTGATCCTCCCAGAGCTGGTTACACTGACTTCAGGGCTCTGATACCTGTGATGTGACCTGGAAAAGCTTTTGTCACCACTCAGTTTATGATATAGCAAGTTCCCTGCAAGTGACAGAAAGATAAATAAATTCCTCAAAATCAGCAGATTTGACTGTAACTGAGCAGAGGGAGCAAACCTGCACAGCTAGGGTATGTCTATACTACCAAGGTTTGTCAACAAAACTTACATTGAAACCCAAAAGTCAACAAAACTAAAATCGCCAGAGGGTGTTCCCGCTTGCTGACTCTGTCATCAGTAGAGATGTGAAAGGTTAACCAGTGGGGCTGGAGCAGCTCCCCATCTGCCATGGGTAGGAGGCTGCTCCAGCCCTGTGAAGCTGCTCTGGGTGTCTGGAGCATCTCCTGTCCACAGTGAGGCTAGTGCGTCTGCTGGCAGGGGCTGCCCTGTGGCAGTGAGCCACTGTAGCCCAGCCATGGCAGGGGTGGAGGGGAGGGCTGAAACAGTGGCCCTTAAACTGTTTAACTGGTTAAACGTGAAATAAACTTCACGTTTAACCAGTTAATCAATTACACAGGATTTTACATCCCTAATTAGCAGACCATTTCCACACTGGGGGTACCATCCTTGACAGTGTGAGCAGTGCACTGTGGCTATGTACCCCATAGTGCAGTGTTGTGGGAAGGCAAAGTTGATCCCTGTGCATCGTGGGATTCCCGCAGAGTTCTTCCACAGCCTCCACAGTGGCAGGGAGCAGCATCATGACTAGCTCTGAACTCTCGGTGCTGAGAAATGTCAAAGTAGCACAGCAGACCATCTTCCCCCTGCAGCTGCAGTGTGCCTGCTCCTGTATTCCTAGTACAGGCCAGAACAGGAGCACTTCAGTGATTTGTTCTTTGTTTACTCCCAAAGGGAGCAGCACATTCAGCTGTCAGATCCTTCCCAGGGCTTTGAAAGTGGGGGGAGGCACATGGCTACAGGTAAGCAGAGATCACAAAACACTGAGCAGAGCAGACATGGTAGGGTGCTGGTGGAAGCCAGTTCTGTAGACAAAACACAGTGCACAGTCTACACTGGCTCTTTGTGAACAATAAAGCAAGGGGGAAAGAAAAAAGTCTCTGATAGAGGTGGAAATGTTTTGTGTCTGGGCATTTTTTACTATATAATCGTCAAAAGCAGTTTTTATCAACTAAACTTAGTGGTGTAGACATATCCTTGGAATGTGTCGTTTGTACTCTTTTTTTTCCCCCTAATCTCTTTTCAGTATATTTGTTGTTTGGGAGCTGTTTAGCAGGCTGCGATGGAGAAATCGCCTTTCCTGATATCTACCCAGGTGGGAGACAGCAGGAAGTGGAACAAATTTGCACAAATGGCTTTAACACCAAATGGCATGATAATTACACTTGAGTGTATTTACACATTCCAGCTAATCAATCATTTTGTTAATTTTGATGATCTAATTTTAATTAGAGATGGAACTTGTTTTCTTTATCTAAACTAGCTGCTAAAGTTAGAGCATCAAAAACAACTTAGGCCTGGTCTAAACACAGTTTTTGTACTGGTAGAACTATATGGTTCAGGAGTGTGAATTTGTTTATTTTTGTTATCAGTGTAGTTATATCAGTATGCTCCTCTAATGTGGGTATATTTCTACCAGTATGAAGGTGCTTTATACTTGCATACCTCATTCCCTTTCTTGTGTGACATAAATACCTTTATATCAGTGTCTGTGCTAGATGGAGTTGTACTGCTTTAAGTATATGCAGCTTTAACTCTGGTGTGTAGATAAGACCTTAGACACATGTCTATTTAAAATGAACAGCAATTCTGAAAGAAAATGCCAGTTTTAAAATGCTGCTATGACAATCTCTAGTCAGTACCTAAACTAATAATAGCGGCGAGGAGTCCTGTGGCACTTTATAGACTAACGGAAGTGTTGGAGCATAAGCTTTCATGGGCAAAGACCCACTTCATCAGATGAATGAGCTACAGTTCATCTTCAAGTTTGACACAATCAACTCAGACTTAAACAAAGATTGTGAATGGCTAGCTAACTACAAAAGCAGCTTCTCCTCTCTTGGTATTCACACCTCCAAATCAGCTACTAGAAGTGGGCCTCATCCTCCCTGATTGGATTCACCTCATTATCTCTAGCCTGATTCTGGCCTGCATATTTATACCTGCCTCTGGTACTTTCCACTACATGCATCTGATGAAGTGGGTCTTTGCCCATGAAAGCTTATGCTCCAACACTTCCGTTAGTCTATAAAGTGCCACAGGACTCCTCGCCGCTATTATTAGTTTAGGTACTGTAATGAAGAGCTGCCTTTTTCTTCTTCAGTACTTCACCAACCAGAGAGATGAGTTTGAGGGAACAAGGGACAGTATTCTTGTTTGGCTCACAGAAATGGACCTTCAACTGACAAACGTGGAACACTTCTCAGAGAGTAACTTTGATGACAAAATGCGGCAATTAAATGTACGTATCATTCAAAGTAGCTGGTGTACCGAACGTCAGTCTGTAGTCTCTTGGCAATGCCAGCCAGTTAGCTATGGGCTAATTTCAGGACAGCATACATTATGTCCATCAGATCATATTTGTTGTTGGACCAGTAAATGTTAGAAAAATAATTGTACAAGTCAACTTAAAAAATAGTTTCTGTAAAATATAAGTTCAATATTCAGAGTCTTCGATTCTGTCTTTCTGTTTCCTCTTACAACTTAGTATCAATGATGGTTATATTTAGAGCTCTGTGCGGATACTAATGTCTACCCACAGCATATCCGGTGTGGGGTTGTATGGCCCTGTATGACAGCTGCACTGCCAAGAGGAGCTGCTGGCGCGGAGCGCTAGCTCCTGGGAGCAATGAGACCATGCTCCTCTCCGTTGGCCGCAATGTCTCTTGAGAGTAGATCCCAGATACCAATGTCCATCTGCAGATATCTGCACCCGCAGGTAGGCATTTGCATCTGTTCAGGGCTCAAGTTATATTAAACTTGAAAGGTAGTTTAAAACTTGGGTAAACATAAGCAAGATCTCTAAACAGCTCAGGTGCCACAGGACTGCTCGTTTTTTTAAAACAGCTGCAGTAAAAGCTCTCTTATTTGGCATGTTGAGAGAATGCAGGGTGCTGGTTAATTGAATATTTGGGTTAACTGAGAGCTGTACTTCCCCAATGAAATACCAATTTTCAAAGAATTAGAATACAATAAAATGAATAAAGTATAAAATAATACACAGGTCCTTACCGATCCAGCAGTAGTATTGCACCTGCAGAGTGGCTGGTTTCTGGAAGTACTTAGATGCATACAGGTAAAATTTTCTATACAGTAGGTTATCTTATGACACTACATATCACTATGTACAGTCAGAACACTAAAAATACACTTAACACTAAAACTATACTGAACATAATTTAATCTCTGATTGTTCAGAAGGCACTTTAGGATCTTGTAGCCGCTCAGGGTCATTGTTATCAACATCAATTATCACTGGAGATGTAGAAGGTATAGGAAATTGGGCTGAATCTGTAATGATAGCACAACACACCTTGGAAGCTGCTTTTTTTTTCTTTTTCTTTCTTTCTTAATAAATCCCTGATTTCAGCTTGCTTCCTGGTCTTCTGCCTCTTTTGCATAAAAGTAGAGTGCAGACTGTGCAATTGCATAATATGCTGGGCAGTATACTAGTCCTGGTTACTAGATATAAGATTTCTATTGGGAGATATCAGAAATGCCCGTTGACTGAGCTTTCCAGTTAATTGAGTGCCGGATAACAGAGCTTTTACTATAAATACCTAAAATCAACATTTAAAATCTGCTAGCCAACTTGAAGACAGATCCAGTTCCATAATAATATTATGTCCAATTAGCATTTTTAATAGAATGTAGAATATTTGGGAGGTGGATTCTTTGAACATTTCAGTCAGGCACTAGTTTTTGTGACACTCATTCAGAAAGATACTGATGCTTTGCTACATGAATGAAGTTCATATTCTATTCAGCAGTACTGTTCTGTCCTTTCCCACATAGCACAGCTTGTTGTTCTACAGCCTGTGTTCAGTTTCATTCTGTGCAGAGTTCAAAAGGTGACTTAGTGGCTAGAGGGATTTGATGGCTAAAGTTGACTAGAAGTCACTTGTTCAAGCTAATGATGACCAGAAGTTTTTGCCATCTATTTCAATAGCAAAGATGGAATGAGTTCAGGTTTTAATGGGTAGGTCCTATACATGACAAATCAGTATGGGTCAGCTTATTGGAAGACTTGGCATAGGCATGAAGAATAGCCCACTCTTTCACACATTTGAGGTGGTCCATCCACAGCAGGGTTGAGGTGTGTCAACTGTATAAACCATGAGTGGTCCTGCGGCACCTTAGAGACGGACAAAAATATACAGAATCATGAGCTTTCATGAAGTGGGTTTTAAAGTTTGAACACGGCTACCCCTCTGAGACGTCTCAACTGGATAGCGTAGGCAACTTTGCCTTCCTATTGCTGTGCTGTTCCTGTTGCATGGTTGGAGCACTTCACTTGGTGCTAATTTCAATCAGCACCTACATTCACACATTAAAGTCACCCACATGGCTTTGACTAGCAAAAGAAAAGCCAAACGTTTACAGATGGCAGATAGAAAGCTGTCTGCCAAAAGAAGATAGATTACTGTCAGTGTTCAGATTCCCTCCGCTTTGCAATGCTACAGCAGGATAGTCTTGAGCACAGGCAAGAAAGAATCACTGCTTAAGTAACCATTTCTTATGTCTGTTTGATATAGGGTTTCCAACAGGAAATAACCCTAAACACCAATAAGATTGATCAGCTAATAGTTTTTGGAGAGCAGCTCATTCAGAAGAGTGAACCTTTGGATGCTATCCTGATTGAAGATGAGTTGGAGGAACTGCATAGATATTGTCAGGAAGTGTTTGGACGGGTCTCTCGATTCCATCAAAGATTGACTTCCAGGCATCCTGTAAGGGATAAGTATGGTCTTGGTGCTTTGGCAGGTGTTGGTATGAAAATGCAATATTCATTGTGTAGCAGCAGCTGAGTAGCAGCATAGTGTTAATGGATTGAGTGCAGAAGGGTCAGGGGCTCATCAGTAATAATTCCCACTTTATCACTTATTTTTTCATTTTCTAAGAGAGAGAAGTCTCTTAACCACTCACAGGGTTGTAAAGGGCTTAAAACGTTTAATGCAGATTTTTGTATCTGTTTTTATATCCACTATTAGCTTCCATAGCATGTTCAGTATTTTCTTTTTCATAATCACAATAGATTTATTTGTGCCCCCAGTTGTTCTTCACTTCCATTTGGGGGACAGATGCCAATCTTTGCTTGTACATATGAGATATCAGCCAATGCTGAGAGTGTTTCGACTCAAAAAGAAATACCATCCATTAAAAAGCCTATGGAAGGATTTAATTAGTATAGGCACCTGGGAATGATGCTCCCCTTTGTCCACCTGATGGTGCCGCACTGTAATTAGCTAGTCATTCTCATTTGCAGAAGGGAGCTATCTCAGTGAAGGTTGGGTGATATGAGGAGGAGGGCGAAGTACTGGGTTGAGGTTGACATTGTAGCTGCAGGAGAAAAGGAAGGGGAGAAAAGGAAAGATCTTCTCTGGGCTTTCCATCATAAGAAAATATGTGGGGACAGACCATTACAGGCTGATGTCTCCATGCCACAAAAAATAAGCTGCTGTATTTCTCCACCTCTTACTGTGTCACTTGTTAAGCAACTTAGATCTATGTTGTTTCATCACAATATAAAACAATTATTTTAGGGAATAGAAGATGACAAAGATACATCTGAAAATGAGACAGATGCAGAAGACTCAAGAGAAATCCAAAATGATCCCTGGCATAAGAAGGCAATAAATGAGCTGCCTTCTTCCCAGCAGTCCCTTTGCCATCTGGTTTCCCCTGCACCTGCTTATGAAAGGTCAGGCTGTGAGACCCCTGTCAGTGTTGACTCCATCCCACTTGAATGGGATCACACAGGTGATGTAGGAGGCTCGTCCTCTCATGAGGATGAAGAAGAAGGAACATACTACAGTGCTCTCTCTGGTAAGAACCAGTAATCCCAGATGTTTTGTTTCAGTACAGCCTCCTTTAGCATCCCTAAAGTGGCACCTGTTCTGTTGTTTGCGTCAGGCAGGTGTGTTAATTTGTATTGGTACAAAAGTGTGAAAGTTATGTAACTTTTCGTGATACTGTCTGGACAAAAAGGATAGTGTTGTCTAAACCAACCTTAAAGTTTTGAATGCCCCCGCAAATTCCTTGTTTTCTAAAAATGCTTGATGAAAATAGTAATGAAGTTTTTCCTCTCAGTCAATATTTCAGATGTTTCTGTTAATATTCAGAAAATATTCAATATTTGTCCAGTGAGGAAAATGACATTATTCTCTTTCAGATATAGAAATCACTGAAAATCCAGAGGCATATCTTAATATGACCACAAAAACTTTGAAAGCATCTTCTGGTAGGCACCTGCTAATGCATGTGTCTGAACATGGCAATCTCCCTGTGGCGCACGCTATACTCCTAAACCTCCTTTCATATGTAACGTCTGATTTCCTGCCTTGTGTGGACACCATGTGCCATTGTGTCATGGTGTTTTTACGCTGCAGTAGAAACACATACATTACAAAGCAGTCAAGAACATGCCATTTACAGTTTTCCTGTCTAAAGCAGGGATGGTTAATGTGCATTTCATTATATAAATCCAAAATCTTTCAGCTCTTTCATGGTGGTTTGGTCTTGGTATTATTTTTTTCCTTGTTGATTGTAATCACCTAATTATTGAGACAGTAGTTTAGTTATGCTAGTAAAAGCAGCACTTTGTAACTATTGCATATCATTTTGCATTGTGTGTGACAGAGCTTTGGCCATGCCATTAGCTAAATCCCAAATAAGAGTTCAGTATTCTCTTCCACTCAGAATAGGTCTATTCTTGACTCGTTTGTCATGCATTGCAGCAAAATGATAGTGTCATGGGAACAGGAACTTACCAAAACTGCGGTGCAAACTTTCCTTGTTGTAACTTTCCCTGTCATACTGCAGCCAGACATTTTCAGAAGAAAATAAAATGTCTCATAATTGCATGGCTGTCATTTCATTACCTTCTGGAACACTGCTGACATTTTGCAAATGTGCATGCTTTGCAAGGAAAGCTGCAACACTGCCATTTCAATGCCATCATGTGGTGCCATATTCTACAGACTACTACTTTATTTAAAAAGTAAACGCTTCATTATACAGTTGGGGGGGTCTCAAATTCAGGTTGTATTTGTTTTGTTTTATGTGGTAGGAAAATCCATTTCAGAAGCTCTTACCTGGCATTCCCCGGATAGCCCAACCTGCAGGAAACATCAGTACAACCAGACCGAGATGTTAAGAAATGTACAGTCTGGAAGCCCAGAGACAAGCACCCCATATAAGCCAGGCTATGTGAGTTCAAGATCTGTGGATATTAATTATAAGCTAAACACAGTGGCATTAGGACGAACTTGATGCTTATTTTATGTGTCTCCTTCCAGCTCCTTCCAAGAGAGTGGTTTGAATAGGGTTGTCATTTTTTTTGATTGGATATGTTCCTGCAGGTTTCATGACAACTTTAATCTTTAATTCCAGGAGACTGTAGGACTATCTTGGATGGCTGACAACTCTAGGTTCAAACTACCCTTTTTCAGCATGCAGGCTGAATGAAGGGACGGGGTTGGCCTAGACATAGCCTGCTACTCCTCCCATTTCTGGTCATTCAAAGAGTTTTCTTGATGGCAAAAAGGGAATTACCAGGGAGACTATGCCTAAGGCAGTGGGAAGCCAGAAGAGAGATCATTCCCAGTGGTTGGTTTCCAGGAGCAGTGTTTTTCAGGCTGCAGTTCTACCTTTGTCTCCTTTTGTATTGCTTGTCCTGCTCTGGCACCTCACTATCTCAAGAGGATTGCACCATAGCCATCAATGCTCTGGTACTCACGGGAATGAAGTAGTGCAGTTAATGCACAAGTTATTGTTAGTGTTGCTTGGTTTTGGTCACATCCATATTTTTCTTAGAATAGCTCTTGCCAAGTCTTAGTAACTGATGGAGTGAATGGAAATGCCTCTAATACTAGATTTTATACAGTGGGTTAGAGTCAACCAATTTCTATCAATAAGTCGCTACGGCCCAGACCTTCAAAGATAGATAAACTCCTAAACTTCCATTGAAATCATTGGGCATGAAGAGCCTTGATACCTTTAAGGAACTGGACCTCTCACCAGCTTAAATGTCATTACTGTATTTCTACCAATAACTGTTGGCATATTTCTGTGGCAGGAAAGATAATGGAGCAAATAATTAAGGAATTAATCTGCAAACGTCTGGAAGATAATAAGGTGATAGGTAACAGCCAGCATGGATTTGTAAAGAACAAATCATGTCAAATCTATCTGATAGCTTTCTTTGGTAGGATAACAAGTCTCGTGGATAAGGGGAAAGTGGTAGACGAGGTATATCTAGTCTTTAGTAAAGCGTTTGATACCACGTTGCGTGACCTTCTTATCAATAAACTAGGGGACTACAATCTAGGTGGGGTGGGGCTACTACAAGGTGGGTGCATAACTGGCTGGATAACCATTCTCAGAGAGTAGTTATTAATGGTTCACAGCCATGCTGGAAGGGCATAACAAGTGGGGTTCTGCAGGGGTCTGTTTTGGGACTAGTTCTGTTCAGTATCGTCATGAACAATTTAGAGAATGGCAGAGTGGGTACAAAAATGATTAATGGTCTAGAAAACATGATCTGTGAGGGAAGAATTGAAAAAACTGGGTTTGTTTAGTTTGGAAAAGAGAAGACTGAGAGGGGACACAATAGCAGTTTTTAAGTACCTAAAAGGATGTTACAAGGAGGAAGGAGAAAAATTGTTCTCCTTGACCTCTAATGGTAGGACAAGAAGCAATGGGCTTAAGTTGCAGTAAGGGAGGTTTAGGTTGGATATTAGGAAAAACTGGATGGTTAAACCCTGGAATAAATTGCCTAGGAAGGCATCCCATCATTGGAAATATTTAAGAGCAGGTTAGATAAACATCTGCTAGGGATGATCTAGACTGTGCTTGGTCCTGACATAAGAGTAGGGACTGGACTTTGTCTGGAAATGGGTGATTTGTCTGGAAATGGGTGACAGGGGAGGGATCATGTAAGGATTACTTGCTGTGTTCCCTCTCTCTGGGGCATCTGGTATTGCCCACTGTTGGCAGACAGGATATTGAGCTAGATGGACCATTGGTCTGATCCAGTATGGCTACTCTCATGACTTGATGACCCTTCCAGTTCTAGTATTCCATAATTCTTTGATTTACCTAGCATACATACAGTGCTGTTGCATAGAGATGGTGTTGGCTTGGTGGTACTTGTTGGTGGTGTCTTTATTAAGTGTTACTTTCAAAAGCCTACACTATCACCTTTTATACTAAAGTGCATGCATCTTGAAGGTTCATTGGCATTCCCAGCATGTTAATTTAATAAATGTATTAAATAATTCTAGGCTAAACTGCTAGTGTCTGCAAGCAGTGGGAACATGGACAGTGTGAAAGAAGCGTCTGCTGTATTGAATGATGAGGATCCCCAAAATGATCAGGGGCTTGTGAACATTGCAGCTGCAGAGAAGCAATCAGGTACAGCTAAAGATAAACCATGTAAAGAAATGAATAATAGCTCTTATGAAGTGGTTTATTGTGTGACTCACAAGTTAACAAAGCAAAGACAACATGACAGCACACTTACATTGAGAATAGACATACCACTGCTCTCTGAAATGATGCATTTTGCTAAAATTTGCTAAGCTGCCTTCTTACTTGACATTGTCTGACCTATATTTATTGCTGAATTCTCAGCCCTTCTATTTCCTCTACTACACTCAAGAGTTTCAGACTCATCATATACTTGACTTCTGTCTCCTCACTGATAAAAATGTAATTGTTCTCATTTGTTTGTGAGGTTCTAGCCACTTCAAGGGATATTTAATCAGACTGTGAAAATTCTTCACAGACGCCAAGAAGTATGTTACCTTGACTAAGACAAGATTGGTATAACTTGTTTTCTCAGTAACTTATATTCCAATCATTTAAAAAGTATATTACAGCTTCTGTGTACATAAGCTCTTGATTAATCAAGGCTTGGTAATTACTACATTTTTCACAGCAGAGCAAATCTATAGTTAGAACAGGGACAGTTGAGCTGGCTCCCTTAACCTTACAAGACCCTGTTTTTGTGCATCAGGTGTTCTCCAGAACCTTCATAAAAATCAGGTTTGTACTATAGTTCTAAATCTGCAGTAGAGCAACAGTGATAAGTTGCAGTACACCAACCATATTATGCTGCAACTGCATCAGCTCTCACACTGTGACCAGCATCAAGCAGGGTTTCTTTGTGGATGAGAGATCTGCAGGGCAGTCCTACATGAGATGGGTAGTGGTGTTGGCGCTCTTCTCAGCACAGAAGCAATACCCCAAAATGCTGGGTTTATGCAGCTCTGTGCTGCTGGAAGTGCCATTTTTCAGATGATCCATAAAACGTAGCCACTTGTATTTTACTTTACACACCATGGCAATTAATCCTCTCACCTTTGCCAAATTCAGTCTGGATAATTACATTCAACTTCTTGATATTTCTTCTGTATTTTTGTCTGGATAAAATATTCCTCGGTTATTGCAATCCTGTGTAGTGTCACTGTATTTTCCAAATAATTGTCATTTTTACCTGCATAGCTTGCATGTCTGGTTGTATAGATGACCTTCCAGGATACAAGTAGTACATTACAATAATGTTATGATGGTATTTTTATATCAGGTGTAGTAAGGCAGATATATATGTCAGCTCCTTACAGCAGTATGGCCCCACTGCCCAAGTCACTAAGGCAGGTCTAGGGTTCAGGACAGTAAGGCCAAATAGCAAAAGTCTTAAGTAGCTGCCCTCCTTCCCAGGGCAGTATGGCTCAATGGCCAGAGTCAGTAGGGCTGTCCTGCAGTTCAGAACAAAGGGGCTATTGGCCAAAGTCTAGGTAGCTGCTTTTCCTTCCAGGGTTGCAATTCACCTCCCTGCACATTGCCAGTGTCCATGGATAGATAGAGATTGGGCACCTGCAACTACTTTCTCCACCAGTTCCTGATCCAAGGCTTGAAGGAAACGATATCTTGCTTCTCAGTCACCCATCACTATCCCCTCTTCCCTGGGTCACTTCCTACCCCTTCTTCCAATGCAGGGGGATCCCTCAGCAATCGCTACCTTGGCACTTAGCTGCTGTTTGGTAGAGGCATCACTCTGGCTGGTGTTTGCCTCTAATGACCCTGGCACTGCAGGAGCCTGCAGTACATGTCTGCTCTGATCAGGGATCAGCTTAGACTGAGCTGCGCTGCACTGCTCTGCCTTATACTGTGATTCCAGTCAGAGCATGAGTAACAAGGGTCCATAGCATGGGATTAACCTTCTCCAGCCCAATGTGGTGTAGAGACACCCCGGCACACAAGGGCTGTGTCTACACTGGCATGAATTTCCGGAACTGCTTAAAACGGAATACTATTCCGTTTTCAGTTTTTCCGGAAAAGGAGCGTCTATATTGGCAGGCTGCTTTTCCGGAAAAGCCCTTTTTCCAGAAAAACATCTGTGGCCAATGTAGACGCGCTTTTCTGGAAAAGAGCCCCAATCGCCATTTTCGCGATCGGGGCTTTTTTCCGGAAAAGACTACTGGGCTGTCTGCACTGGCCCTTTTCCGGAACAGTGTTCCGGAATAAGGACTTATGCCCGAGCGGGAGCAGAATAGTTTTTCCGGAATAGCGGCTGATTTTGTACAGTAGAGCATTGTTGCTTTTCCGGAAATTCAAGGGCCAGTGTAGACAGCTCGCAGCTTATTCCGGAAAAGTGGCTGATTTTCCGGAATAAGTGGCCCAGTGTAGACACAGCCAAGGAGAGAGAATATCTGGTCTGAAGTAAGGATGTAAGCGACTAATTGAGTTACTATTCGGTGCAGGAGGAAGCGGGGGAGGCAGAGCCACAGCGTTCCAGGGAGTCCCAGCTCGTGCCAACCCTGCTGCAGTTCTGCACTTCAAATATAGTAAGTGCCCAGCAGAGTAACCCACCATGGGGTTAGCTCCTGGGGGCAGCACAAACTGGGACAAAACAGTCCCAGCTCGTGCCACCCCCGAGACGCTGTGACTCTGCATTTTATATGTAGTAAGAGTTCTTACTACATTTAAGGTGCAGAGCTGCAATGGGAGCGCTCCCCTCATCGACTAATCGAATAGCCTATAACATTCCATCAATTACTCAATTAGTCATTTAACCGATAGATAACATCCCTAGTCAGAAGCAGATTGCAGAATGGGTTCTTTAGAAACACTAAACTTCATAGTTTGTAAATAATATTCTGTTCTGTTTTAAATAATATTCACGTGATTGGTGTTTTAAAGCATTTCTTGGTATATCACTGTAGGTGTTATTGAGAAATGGGAGCTCATTCAAGCTCAGGATCTAAGAAATAAACTTAGAATGAAACAGAATCTGCAGCAGTGGCAACAACTGAACTCTGATCTCAGTGATATTACTGCTTGGCTGGATAAAACTGAAGAAGAGCTGGAAGAATTACAGAAAGCAAAGCCTGCAACCAGTCTGCACGCAATAGAACAAAGAGTAAAGAAACTGAAAGTATGTTGTCATATACCAAAAATGAGGTTTTAAAAATGTCATTTACTATTTTAAAAGACTTGTTTCTCTGAGCAAAATACTATTTTCCCTATAATTTTTAAAATATTGTTTAACCATAACATTTTGTAGGTTGATACCACAAAAACATATCTGGAACGTCTATCCCAATGTGTGTAGATTTGTATGCTCAATACCCCAAAACTGCACTGGGTATTATGTATCTCCCAGTAAACGGACAAAAGTGACTAGTCCCAGAAAATGGACACAGCATAGATTGTCTAATGCATGGGTTCCCAAACTGGGGGGCATGCAGACATTCTGGGCGGGGGGCGTGAGGCGACCGGGGCCCCCCCCCCCCCCAAGTTTTGCTGCTGTTTTTGTTTTTCGGCCCCCGTCAGTTCCTTTTTCTCTCTCTCAACAAGTTTTTGCTGCTATGGGGGAGGGGAACGTGATTTCTCAAAAATCAAAAAAGGGGGCGTGAACAGTTTGGGAACCACTGATCTAATGGATTGCTTCAAAAGGTGGACTCATACTGGTCAAACCTCAGTGATCAGAAACTGACTTCTGTTGAGGTGAACATCAAGCTTTATCAATCAAATATGCAGAATAAACTCATTATCTGAGTTAATATTAGGTTTGGGAAGAGAACAGTACTTCGTTTGAGACACAATAAGGCATTCATAAGAATGTGAAGTGGTGGTTTCTGCACGATTTGTGGTGATAATCTTAAATGTTAAGCTGGGCTGAGCCAAGTTGTACTTGGATGGGTGATATGGAAAATTGCTACATTCTTCCAATTTCTAGCCATCACTCCTCCCTGTAAGTTAGTGCTGGATCCTTGATTTCAAGACTGCATTAGGGGGCACTATGTTGCTTGTAAATGTTTGTATCTGCGCATGGCTCTACCTGTGGCTGCGGATATCTACAGACAGACGTATGCATCCGCAGATCCGGAGGGCTCCACTCCCAAGAGACACTGCAACCACTGGAGAGGAGTGTGGTCCTGTCACTTCCAGGAGCAAGCTCCCAACCCCAGCAATGTGGCTGTACTGCCCAAAACCCAGACAGGAGGCACCATGGCAGGGCCAGGAGTGATGGGACCACACTCCTCTGCATTGACTGCAGTGTCCTATGAGAGTAGGGCCCTGCAGTTCTGCAGATATCCATGTCTATCCACGGATATCCACAGCCACAGGTCGATGTTTGCATCCACATAGTGTTCTGGTTGTTGGGATTTTTATTTTATTTTGGATGAGATATAATTTAGACCATATGCTTCTTGGGACAGGACCCATTGCCATCACCGTTATCTGTTCAGGCAACGCACAATCGTGGTATAAAATCTGTGTAAAATCAAGTTTCTGAAAATTTTAAATACTATCGAAGTTCTGATTGAATGTCGAATTTTTAACATCCAGGTCCTTGTCAGATTCTCCATTATTGCTCCTACAATTGCAGGTGGGTATTCAGCTTCAAGATACTGAGGAACTCTGCCTTGAAGTCGTCTCTTGAAATATCTCTTGAAGTATCCCTGGAATACTTGTGATTTCTTAGTTTGTGGAAGATTGTTTTTTAGGGTACGTCTTCATAGCAGCGTTATTTTGTGTAGTGCACATCTACACTACAAGCCTTTATTTTGAAGTAATGTCAACCTGGAGGACTTCTTACTCCGACTTATGGTATCCCTCATTTCACAAGGAGTAGGGGAAGTCGAAGGAAGAGTGTTCTTCCTTCGACTTCCTGCTGTGTAGACAGTGCCAAACACTGAATTAAGCTATTTCAACTTAAGCTACGCAATTGGTGTAGTTGAAGTTGCATAGCTTAATTGACTTTAGCCCTGCTGTGTAGACGTACCCTAAATGAATAATTAAAGTTATTGATAATTTACCGAGAGTTGTAATCTGCTTCTTTTTTCAGAACATGCTTAAAGCCTTTGATAATTACAAGGCTTTAGTGTTCTCCGTTAACCTGAGTAGCAAGGACTTCCAGCAAACAGATAGCACTGAATCCAAAGAGCTTCAAAACAGACTTCGACAAGTGAATTTGCGCTGGGAGAAAGTATCTCATTCAATGGACAACTGGAGAAAGGGTTTAAAACAAACCCTAATGCAGTGCCAGGTAAACAGAGCAAACATTTGTCTTGTAACACTTTGAATGAGGGTTTTATTTGTAATGATCTAATAAAAGTAGATCAGAGGACGCAATGTGGTTGTTGCAGGAATACTGGGACTTCATTGAATTTTTACTCAGATAATAGACTTCTTTGAATGTGTGCCTTCTTTTATGCACAGGAATAGCTACTTTGGACGTAATCAGAACTTGAACTGTTTTTCATAGAAGTCTAGAAATATAGGGCTGAAAGGGAGGAGAGAAGTCATCTAACTTCCCCATCCCCAGTGAGGCAGAACCAAGTAAAACAAGAGTCTGAGGCTCTGAGCCATGAGAGTTATTTCACAACCTCCTCTGGAAGCCTATTCCTGAACTGTTCTTATAGTTACAAAGAAAAGATTAAAAAACTGTGAATAGTCTAATAGCACCTTAAAGACTAACAAAACCTGTAGCTGGTATCATGAGCTTTCTTGGATACAACCCACTTCTTCAGATGAACGGAGTATTAAAAGTTCAGTTCCAAAATAAATAGGGGAATGAGGGGTGAGAGAAGGAAAGGGGAAAAGTAGTGAATTAGAGTATTCCTGTTACATGAAGCTGATAGAGAAGGTGCAAATTGTTCATAAGTACCCATTGTTTGGTTGGTTAAGTCATTAGGATGTGGGTGGTAGTGTGCTAGCCAGCCAATGTCTTTATTCATACTTTTGTGATGGGTCCCAAACCTGTAAATGAAGTTAAGTTCCAATGCTTCACTGTGTATTTGGCTTGTGGAATTGGCCAGAAACAACATGGTGACTTAGAGATCCATTAGTGAGTGCCTGGGCAGGTTAAAATGTTTTCCTTCCTGTGTGTTGCCTTTTTGGATATCTGATTTTTGTTCATTAATTCTTTCCCGTGAAGACTGTCCAGTTTGGCCAATATACATGGCAGAGGGGCATTGCTGGCATTTGATGGCATAGATCACATTAGTGGATGTGCAGTTAAATGAGCCCCTGTTGTAGTTGCTGCCGTGGTTGGGTCCAGTGCTGAAATTGCTTGTGTAGATGTGTGGACAGAGTTGGCACTGGGGCTAATTGAATGGGTAGGTTCCTGGATGATTATGTTGGAGGTGTGCTGTGTGGTTACTAGAAAGCTACCCCTCTGAAGCTTATAGTTACAGTTTTTTCTAGTGTTTAACCTAATTGTCCCTAGCAGCAGATTAACCTGGTTACTTCTTGTCTTACCTTCAGTGGAAAAACAATTGATGACCATCCTCTCTGTTTAAGAGCCCTCAAGGTAGTGGACAACTTAAGCCTGTTTAAAGCAATTTGCAAACAATCCACACAAGTGCATGAGGCAGCACTATCTTATTAACCCTTGTTTTATAGATGTCATGCAACAATTGAAGAAGAGAGGTTAAATCACTTGCATAAAGCCACAGAAAGAGCTGATAGCAGAGTCTGAGCTGTTAATTGTAATTTTAGTACAGGATTACTTTTTGAGTAATCCTCTAGTTGACAACAAAGCTAAGTAACAACACGTGGTCAACTATTTCATTGTGTAACGACAGAGCAACAGTGTTTGATTTAATTATAATAATCTGTCTCCCTGCCCACCCATGTCAGGGCACATATTCTTGTAAACCTTTACTTGTTTCTTTAGGACTTCCATGAACTGAGTCAGAAACTACTCTTGGGACTAGCAAATGCTGAAAGTCGAAGACATAAAGCACAATTCACTGATCCAAATTCTGACCCTCATACAATACTGGAGTGCCAAAAAGAATTAATGGTATGTTACATTTATTCAGTGTTGGTTACTGAATCAAAGTATCAGACTAACATTCAAGTTACTTCCATGAAAATAAAAGGTATGGCTATTGATTAATCATAGTTAAATTATGTGATTAACTCAAAAAAATAATCATGCTTAAAAATAGAATATAAATTGAAAAATATTTTGGATGTTTTCTACATTTTCAAATATTTGTTTTCTATTATAACAGAATACAAAGTGTATAGTGCTCGTTTTATATGTATTTTTATTACAGATATTCACACTGCAAAAATGATAAATAGTATTTTTCACTTCACCTTATACAAGTACCATAGAGCAATCACTTTATCATGAAAAGATCACTTACAAATGCAGAATTTTTTTTTGTTACATAGGTGCACTTAAAACCAAAAAGTAATGTAAAATTTGCAGAGTCTACAAGTCCATTCAGTCCTACTTCTTATTCAGTCAATCATTTAGAGAAACAAGTTTATTTACATTTATAGGGGATAGTGAAGCTAAATATGATAGAGGTACTGTGTGTGAACAGTACTCATGAAGGTCCAGGACTAAGTGTACTGATTTGTGTTGCAGTATGAATAGCTGATGAATAATCTTTTCCGTAAAACCCTGCAATTGCACCTAAATCCTAGTCTGCATCACCCTCTGTAATTGTTCCTTTTCATAGAATCATATAAGATTAGGATTGGAAGAGACTTCAGAAGATCCTGTTCTCTCACACCTGGTCAAAGTAGGACCAATCTCAACTAAATCATCCCACACAGTGCTTTTTCAAGCTGAGCCTTAAAAACTTATAGGGATGGAGATTTCACTACCTCCCGAGGTAACCCATTAGGATGCGTCTACACTGCACCGTACCTCGAAATAAGATATGGAATTTGAGCTATGCAAATTGCATATCTTATTTCAATCTTATTTTGAAATAGCTTATTTTGTAATTTGGCACTGTCTACACAGCACCAACTGTCAAAGTACTGTGAAACATCCCTTCATCCTTGTGGAATGGAGTTTACAGGGATGACTGAATAGTGAGCCTGTTGTATTTCAAAATAACAGGTGCACTCCAAAAATGCGGAATAACTATTTTGGAATGCCTGCGGTATCCCGAAATAGTGCAGTAGGGTAGACATAGACTTTCTGTACTTCACCACCCGTCCTGGGGAAATAATTTTTCTTAATATTCAATCCATACCATCTCCACTGCAGCTTGCATCCATTGCTTCTTGTTCTGTCTTGTGCCACAAATATAGCTTGGCTCCATCCTCTGTGGAATCTCTCCCCCCTTTCAGATAGTTGAAGGCTGCTATCAAATCCCCCCTTATTATTCTCTTCTGCAAACTAAATAAGCCCAGTTCCCCCTGCCTCTCCTCATGTGCCCCAGTCCCCTAATCTTTCCTGTTGCCCTCCTCTGGAATCTCTCCAGTTTGTCCACATTCTTTCCAAGTCAGGGGGCAAACTGGATGCAGTATTCCAGGTATGGCCTCACAAGTGTTGAATAAAGGAGAATAATCACTTCTCTCAATCTGCTGGCAATGCTCCTCCTAATACACCCTGGTATGCTATTACCCTTCTTGGCAACGAGGGCGCACTGTTGTCTCCTATCTAGCTTCTTGTTTACTATAAGCTCCAGGTCCTTAGCCAGTCAGTCCCCAACCAATAGCAGTGCAAGGGATTCTTCCTTCTTAAGTGCAGAACTCTGCACTTATCCTCATTGAAAGATTTCTTTTGGCTCAATCCTCCAATTTGTCTCGTTCATTTTGGACCTTATCCATGCCCTCCGACGTATCTACCTCTTTCCCCAATTTAGTGTCATCCGTGAACTTGCTGAGGGTACAATTCATCCCATCATCAAGATCATTCATGAAAACGTTGAGCAAAACCAGCCCCGGGACTGACCCTGGGGATACTTTGCTTGATACTGGGTGGCAGCAAGACATTGAAACAATGATCACTGCCTACTGAACCCAGCGATCTAGCCAGCTTTCTATTCATCTTATAGTCCATTCATCCAAGCCATACTACTTTAATGTGCTGGAAAGAATACTGTGGGAAACTGTATCAAAAGCTTTGCTAAGTCAAGCTATATCAAGTCCACTGCTTTCTCGTTATCCACAGAGCCAATCTCATCATAGAAGACGACAATTATGTTGGTAAGGCATGACTTGCCCTTGGTAGAACCATGTTGAATATTTCTGATCACCTTCCTCTCCTCCAAGTGTTTCAAAATGGATTCCTTTGAGAACCTGTCCCATGATTTTTCTGGGGACTGAGATGAGGCTGATTGAGCTGTAGTTCCCTGGATTCTCCTTCTTCCCTTTTTTTAAAGATGGGCACTACATTTGCTACCTTTGGGTCATCAAATATGTTACACTATTTACTAAACTGTTGTAGAAATAAAATTAGTTGATCTTATGAAATTCTAATCCTCCCATATGGTTAGAGCAATTAATTATACTGATTGTTATATTTCAAACCTTTTCCTTTTTAAGCAACTGGAGAAAGAGCTGTTGGAACAGCAGCTTCAAGTAAATGCTCTACAGGAAATCTCTACCTACCTTCTGGTTAAGTCAGATGGAGAAAATTATATTGAAGCTGATGAAAAGATACACATAATTGGAAAGAAACTGAAACAGCTTCTTGAACAGGTTTCACATGATTTAAAAACTTCACAAGGAAACATGGTGAGTCAGGGGTATGATTTTTTAAACTTGTGCTATAACCAGTGCTATAAGAAATAGTGATGCAAAATCACCCCAAAATCTGAAGAATCAAGATCAGAAACTGTAAAAGAAAATCAGGATGGATTACAATGTATATGTATGTAGAGCTTATCAAATATGTGCAATTATTGGAGTACGCTCTGTGGGGTGAGGAGGGGGGGACCAACATATTGTATTAAGATAGCCATATACAACATTTTGCAGTTCATGTGTTGATGCTTTATGTATCCACATTTTAGCGGTGTGTGATTTGTTTTTTAGGACAAAAGTGCATTTCTCCCAGCTGCAGATGACTTGGATTCTGGAGGTTATCATCCATTAATAGTGAAATCCAAACCACAAGAAATGGCAAGAACTTTTTAAATCAAATGCCTATTTTTCTAAAGCTTTTGCTGTGTTTTCAACCTGCCTTCCCTTGAATTGAATCTGTACTTTAACCTCAAATCTTTTGAAACTTGTTCATTTTAGATATGAGAGAGTTTGCATTTGAATGTCCTAGAGTTGGGTAATTCTAAATATTTATCTTAACAGGTTGGTGTAAGGAGAACTTCAGAAAGGAAGAGCAACAACAGTGTCAGGTAGCACATTATTTTTGGTAGAAATGAAGAATATGTTTTAAAATAAAAAGAGTAGGCAAAGCTGATGGCTTGGTGCCAGTGTGGTGTGCTGCTAAATAGCAAATAAATATGGAGAGACTCTGCTCCTAATATGTCTGTCTAAATTATGGATACAATGTATATGTATTCATGGCTGACTATGCTGTTTCTCCCAGATACCAACATGCACCTTGTGAGACAGGGGTGGCACAAGTCTGCCTATATTAGCCCTTACAAAACCCATGTTTCACTATAGTTTTGCACTTATGGAAACTTTACCACAATATACCCTTTTGAAGGTTGGCCCTTTTACAATTGGCAGAAGCAACAAGCTGCAGCCTTATTTCTTCTTCTTTTATTCTTGAGGTGATGATACATTCTTACACTCCATGAACCTGCAGGGACTACAGCTTTTGTGGGCTGGACAAATCAGCCACCACTCCAGCCAAGTGTGGGTGATAGAATAAGGGTAAAAGGGTCAGAGATAACCCTCCTGCATTATAGGGTGAGGAAACTGCACAGTGTGAGGCCTAGTCTTCTATAAAAGAGACACACACTCCCTTATAGATACATTAGGCTCTTGAAAACTAAGATACTGTTTTTAAAAAACAGACTTCAATAGCCCTAAGCAAGATGCAGCCTGTTACTCTAATCTATTAATACATAGTGCATGTTCCTAAAGGCTAAATTATGACATTTTGGAGGATTTTCCTTATGTAGTAGACTCTGTTATTAGTTGCATTACCTAGTAGATTTCACCACACCATTTTTTAAGTAGATTTCAATGCGTTTCATATCTGAAGCAATCTCTGTTCTCATAAGCGAAGGCTGCATTCCTTAAAGGGGAGAGGGTTAATGTAATTGAACAAAACTAAGAGGCTGCGTCTAGACTGGCAAGTTCTTCTGCAAAAGCAGCTGCTCTTGTGGAAAAACTTGCCAGCTGTCTACACTGGCCGCTTGAATTTCTGCAAGAACACTGATGATCTCATGTAAGAGTGTCAGTGTTCTTGAGGAAATGCTATGCTGCTCCCATTCGGGCAAAAGCCCTCTTGCGCAAATGCTTTTGCGCAAGAGGGCCAGTGTAGACAACGCGGTATTGTTTTGTGCAAAAAAGCCCAGATCGCGAAAATAACGATAGGGGCTTTCTTGAGCAAAACCGCGTCTCGATTGGCACGGACGCTTTTCCACAAAAAGTGCTTTTGCGGAAAAGCATCCGTGCCAATCTAGACTCTCTTTTCCGCAAATGCTTTTAATGGAAAAACTTTTCCGTTAAAAGCATTTGCTGAAAATCATGCCAGTCTAGATGTAGCCAGAAAGTGTGTGTGCCTTGTTTTTAATATTTCCCCTTATTAAAATAGCTGATTATCCTTTATTTACAGACTGGAAAACCAGCAAGCCACTCAAGCAAGTTCCAGCCCCCACTCCTTCTTTTATCGTGTTTTAAGAGCAGCTTTACCCCTGCAGTTCCTCTTCCTTTTGTTTTTGCTTCTGGCCTGCATGATCCCATCGTCAGAGGAAGATTACAGCTGCACACAAGTGAACAATTTTGCTCGCTCTTTCTATCCCATGCTGAGATATACCAATGGGCCACCTCCAACCTAGAAAGCATCCCATCTCCTTACAATATACCAAAACACGATTTTTCATGGGTGCTTATTTTCATGCTGCTTCTATCAAGCACTGCATTGGTGTAGTTAAATATAGAAAGTTCCATTTGGTTTCATATTTTGACCTTCTCTGCTATGCTTTCCTGACACTGGTTTCCTGGGTGCCACAGCAAGAATCTGTGTACTACCATTGAAATATAAGTGAGGCATTAGTTCAATAGCCTATTTCCGATGCATAGCAGGGCAGCGAACATATTAAACCTCAAAAGACCTTTTCCGAAATTGGGAGGGTTTTTTGTGAGAAATACAGCATTAATTGTACAGAAAATGAACTTTTTCTATAAATTTTTTAAAACTCTATAAGCAGCATACTTTGATGCACTAGATATATTATCATTTTATAAATACAGTCCTCATAACATAGAAGGTCCACAGAACAAAAGTTGACAGATTAATAATGGGACACCAATTACAGCAAGTACAGTAATGTTAAACACAGATGGTCTGTATCGTGGTTTAATATGTGCACTTGGCTTGCCTTTGTCACATGATTGGCAACAGTTTGCATCTTCAGGTACTGTAGTAAACTGATAGAAACATGTACATGTGATATTTTTGTTATACTGTACTCAGTGAACATGATACATATTTTATGTGCAGTGTTGAGGACTGCTGTGTTTTAGTTGGATGTGTCTTTTTTCATACTATGTTTTAAATAAGAATTGATTATATTGCATGCAAGTGGTTTATATTGTGCATAATTTCTAAATTAAAATAATTATGATGCGGATTATACACTATGTATACAAATGTAAACTGACCTTTTCATCAAAGATCTTTGGTTTAATAATCTTCTGAATAATGTACAGTATGCCAAAAGAGAGATTTTTATAAGTTAACTTTAAGCCACTTCACATTTAAAGTGAAGCTAAAACTTCGAGTGATGATATGAGAAAAAGTTTTATTAGAATATAATATTTGGTGGAGGGACAGTTTAAACATTTTTCTCATTAAAATTCTGCTGATGTTTGCAGTTACTGAATCTTTTATCTGCTGGGTTTCATGCTTACAAATGAACATATAAATCAAAAATGCTTTGTGGACTGAATACAACTGAGTCAATCCAAAATGCTTTAGAAACTAAAATGTGGTGCAGCAATTTGCAAATAAGGACACTCTATAGGTGGTCTGCTGCATCTCGATACAAGAATAATCAGAAATAGGTTGTTTGCCATTGCATAGCTCTTTTTTCCCCCCCAACAGTCTCCCCCCACCCTACAACTCACTCCCACAAGGGGAGTAAATTCAACAATTTAGTGCCCCCCTTGAGGCCGTTATCTTGAAATACCTTCACAACTTCAAACTAATTTATATGAACTTCCCCATTATTCATCTCTCTTAAGGGAAAGGGGAAAGTGTCCAGCAAGGGGGACACCATGTGGATAGCAAAAAGAGCCCCCTTACAGTGCTAATCATCTTGGCTGTGCTGTAGGGCTCATGAATAAGAAATACGCCTGGGTCTAACACTACATATATTTTGAAGGTGTGGGGGAAAGGATTTTTAAAACCAGTTTTGCAAAAAATCCATGAAATACCAAACTTTGTGTCTTTCCTATCCCCACCTACATTTGCCTGCTTTGACCCAGTAATTCTCCTGCTATTCCCAGCTACAATCCCCATGCCCCTTCAAACTGCAGGTAGGTTTGTGAAAACAACTTGTTTTATGTTTACATCTTTGGAAAGAGAGCGCGTCCCTTAAAAGCTCCCTGCAGTGAATGTAAACAGATTATATTCCAGGCTTGCACTCCAGGGCTGCATCTCGACTGGAATGATTTTCCGCAAATGCTTTTAACGGAAAAGTTTTTCCGTTAAAAGCATTTGTGGGAAAAAAGCTTCTAGATTGGCACAGACACTTTTCCACAAAAGCACTTTTTGCAGAAAAGCATCCGTGCCAATCTAGACGCAGTTTTGCGCAAGAAAGCCCCAATCGCCATTTTCGCGATCGGGGCTTTTACGCAAAACAATACCACGTTGTCTACACTGGCCCTCTTGTGCAAAAGCATTTGCGCAAGAGGGCTTTTGCCCGAAGGAGCAGCATAGCATTTCCGCAAGAACACTGACAATCTTACATGAGATTGTCAGTGTTTTTGCGGAAATTCAAGCGGCCAGTGTAGACAGCTGGCAAGTTTTTCCGCAAAAGCAGTTGCTTTTGCGGAAAAACCTGCCAGTCTAGACGCAGCCATTATCAGTGTAGGTTAGAAAGGTGATTATCACCTCTTTCCTCTCCCTACCCCATTATACTATACTTTGTTTTGAAGCTGATTATTTTTATCTTGTCTACAGCATCAGTACTTTTAGTTCTTTACACCTTTACCAAATCGAGCCATTCTTTCCTTTTGCTTTTCCAGTGTGTTATAAACACCCATGTAAAGCTTTTTGCCAATTATTGGTTTTAAATTGCTGACAGACAATATGCAGTGCGTATGCCATTAAGTGACTTTTCTAAGAGAAAATCTGTAGAAGATTAAAAGGCCTATGGAAAATTTCATAGTTTGCAATTTACCTTCATTATGTACAATTCTATCAAATTACCAGGGTAATGTGATATATAATATACAAGGAGTTTGTATCATATCTCAAAATGTCCAAAGCAATAAGTTGAAAGGAACCTTATCAAATTATCTTTCAGACTTCAAAAGTTACTTTTACTCATGGTTGAGTACAATTACCCTTTTATAGTTTTGACACTGTAGGGTTCCTTCTTAGGGTTGGACTGCTGGCTGTTGAAATAATTTTTTAAGATAAAGAATTAAAAGTTTTGCAAATAGATGCTGTGCATGAGGAAAAGCTGGGCATAAGAAAAACTACAGACTTCAGGAATAACTATTTTGCTCTTCAGGAAACTAGCCATTTCTTGTGGATCACAGACTACAGATCACTTATTTCTAATAGATCCAGTGAACTACAGAAAACTATTTTTGCTTTTGGGATGTAGGGCTGCATCAGGATCAGTTTAACTCAAAACTTCCAGCTCATCCTTCATTGTTGCAACCGAAAACAATGTTTTAAGAAAACATATGGCATGTCAAGGCACATAATGTAAGAGAAAATTCAAGTCTATGATTTAAAATTATACTCATTCTAGTAACTTATTAATAAGCTGCTACTACCAAAAAAATACATTACACTTTATATGATACTTGTTTATTCCACCACAAAAATCTACAATAAAATACACACATTACTGGAAAAATACCATCAGTCTACAGAAGTAAAAAGCAGCTGAGATAAGGTAACTTTTTCCACTTGATTTGGCATTCACAAAATATTTAAAAAGGCACCAAATTCAATTCTAAAAACATTTTTAAAACTTTTTCAGTGAAGATACATATGTGAAACTGGGTTTAAAATACAAGACTATGGAAACAGCATACATTCACAACCACAATACTGTATTAACATTTCACAGAGATGCTAACTGCTTTTCATGAAAGCAAACCACAAAAAATATGAAAAGTCATTATTTTAGCCAGTACCACTAAAAATAGCATCTTACTAAAGTGACAGTCCTAAAAGCTTTGAGAAAACAAGAACTGATTCTGAGCACAGCACACCGGGAATTTAGATAACTCTTGGTAACAATGACTGCAAATGTTTTTTAAAATATGTGTAGCTAGAAGTAAAAGCGTAGATGCTACAGCACTCCTTTTGAATCACTACAATTTATTATTAGTAAAATTTGATAAAAATGAATGTGTTTTAACATTGCCCATAAATTCACCTTTATTTACATGGCTAAAATGTTAAATGAGTAGAACCATTTTATCATTTTTTTTTTTAGATTTGTCATTGTATTGAAGCATTAAAGATAAGTTTCTAATATCTAGCTATTTTTGTTGTTCAAAGAAATATACAAACATTGCAATTATCTAAAGCATAATTTATGATAAGACCTCTCAGATGAATTGTGGGCTTATATACAAATATATGTAATGTTCAGTATACACTTCAACAATCCTTCTTGGCTTGTATATGCCTATATAATTTTCTCCAATATCATTTTAGGAACCGTGTCAGCCTTAAGCACATGGTTAATTTCCTTGCTGAGTCAAAAACTTAATGGGATATGAATAGAAACAACAATGTAACATGCCTGTTTCTTAAAGAAGGGAAAATAGATATGTTCTTATTATTCGCAACCTCTCACCTCTGCAGCAATACAAGCATCCATTCTATTTATAATAAGGTCACAATCCTCAGCTGTGCTGAGTGTAAAGGAGGAAAATCCTTCTGCCTCCTGCCAACCTCTCCCCATACAAGGTAAAGTAACCATAAGGTACGCCAGCTAGAACAGGCTCCTATCGAACATTCTGCCAGCCTGAGCCCTCCCATAATGCCATCTGTCTTCTCATCAGCTGGCCTCAACACTCCCTCTGATGAGAAACTTCAGGAAAGACTGGGATAAAAGCCAACTGTATCCCTTTAAGGCATGGGTTCCCAAACTGGGGGGCGCACGTGAAGAAATTCCAGGGGGGGGGGCATAAGGCAACCCTGCCCCCTCCACACACATACCCTGTGAATCCCACCCTAAGGTTTGCTGCTATTTTTTTGGGAGGGAGGGAGGGGCGTGAGGGTTTCTCAAAAATCAAAAGGGGGGGGGGGGCGTGATGCCAAAAAGTTTGGGAACCACTGCTTTAAGGTATCTCAAGTTGGCCACTCAAAAGTGGAGGCACCCAACAATCACTAGCCACTTGTAAATCTTGGCCAAAATATAAAAAAAACTTATGAATGTATATTTGTTTCATTCACATTGTAGGTTCCTCAGAGTACATATTTTTGGCACACCTTTTGTTCATTAAAATCCTATGCTGTAATTACAACCACATTGTTAGTACACCAGAGCCAAAATATATCTTGGGGTGGATACTTCAGTATATATCTGCATGGTATCATATGGACAATAATACAACCTCAGAGATTCAGGCGCATGCATTTTGGGTCATGCTTTTCAAACACTCAGAATTCAAAAATGTTACAATCGATAAAGTCAAACATTTTGGCTACTGCAGTGCACAAATAGATTATAGGGGTGCATTTGCAGAAATAGGCCCTGGAAATAAAGGGCCTGCCCTTTAAGGATGCCGATGCTCTTTAAAATTCTTAAATGTGAGATGAAGTTGAGGGGTTGTTAGCATCTTTCTGCTTGAAAGCCCAGGACTGAGGAGCAAGGGATGAAGTAGAGAGGAATAAGATGAAACAGAGCACCTGTATAACCTATTGCTTGCTCACTGGTCCTTCACTTTCATAAGTGCTCAATTCATTCATGTTTTAAAAACAAAGAATAAGAGAAAAATCCAGTTTCTAATGCAGATACACAGCAGAAAAGATGACACAGTCACACATTGAGACTGGAATCTGTTATCATTCTGGAAAAAATATTGGAGAGATACAGGCCATGATTAATTCAGCTTCTTAGACAAGAAATTATATGCTCATTTTTTATAAAGTAAACGTCTTGTCATGCAACTAATTATTTTTACAGTACTAACTGTATTTAACAGATTCCTTGTGTACATTATTTAACCACAGAACATAAAATGCATATATCTATATTAAATGTCAGCTATTGCACCAAAGAACATATGCAAGTGAAAAAGTGAGACTTAAAAGGAGAAAAATTATGAAAAGTGACCTTTCTATATTGTTTCAGCAAAAATAAACTAAAAATTACAAAGTTACAATTACACCACCTCCTGAATATGAAAGCTGCTAAAAATCAAATAAAAGATACTTGGAAATGGCATTTTGAAATGGTTTTTAAAACAGTTAGTTTTCTTTTTTGGCCATATGTTTGTAATGTGTAAAAACAAGTCCTGGATTCATGTACAATCATACAATTTTTTAAAAGAACGTATAGAGTTAAACAGAGCTTCCAAACAGAAAAAAGACCAATGGGACAAGTGGTTAGGCCAAAATGTAACCACACCTTTTAACAAATTTTAGATGACTATATGTAGTGCTGACTACATGTAGTGCTTACTACAGTTGCAATCAAAACAGGCATCAATGAATTCGAAACTATCCCTGCATTTTCTCTTTCCATTTGTTACAGTTGCTGCCGCACTAGTATACTTGTCTTTTTTTTTTTAAGTAACAAGTCTGAAATAAAACGGTCCTCAACATTTGGTATAGTATGAGATCAAAACAAGTCTACAGAACAGAGCCTGATTCATTAAACACAAGTGTTTTCAGCCTTCCTGTAAAACACAATATCCCTGACTTCAAAATGCCAACATAAAAAACCTGAATAATAGTCAGAATATGCCAGTGACATAAACCAGTGAATGAACGAACAAAAAAATTCCCTCTTAAGAGCCTGCCATAATTTCCATAGAAATCACCAGAAAGTCTCTCCATCAACTTACATGGGCATCAAATCAACCGCTAATTTAATCACACACCTAAATGACCACAATATACAAGTAATCACTGTGGTATCTAGTCAAGTCCATTAATCTCCAGTGTTATTATCAAAGACTAATTAATTTAATTGCAGCATGAGACAAAATATTACACAAGCAAATGATAGAAAAATATTTTATTTTCCAGCGGAGGCTATGGCCATATTATGTCCTCTCAGACTGAATGCAACTTAGACAGCTGCAGAAATCAACAAGACAGATATTTTATATGACTGCGTTTTTAGTGAAATGCAGATAAATTGCCACACATGGAGTAGTCCACCTCCCAGAGGCGTTTTTCCCTTCTCTCATTTAGGATTCCTTTAAGAGCATTGCAAAAGCATAACATAGAGCTTCCCTAGCAATGCAACTTACATGGAACTTCCTCTTGAAAGTAAGTGGGCAAAACTGAGTCATGTAAGTTAAAGCAGATCTCAGTTGAAATGCCGCTCTACTCATTCTACCACTCCCTACAGGTATGTACAATGCATTACCAGAACCCCCTGAACCTGACAAGACTGCTAGAAAATTCTTGATTTATAATGGAAGTGAAAGGAAGATTGTGAAATTGCCTAGGAAATCATTTTCAAAAAAATAAAGGGGTTGTATCACATTCTTTTTACTAAATGCATATAATAAACATCAATTTCTTGATCCTTCATACCTATACATTGTCAGTATAAATGTACAAAACAGCACATTAATCTCAGTGACACTAAATTTTCAAATTTAGTATTAGATGAAAACAACTAAGCAGTCAAGTCAACCTGTAAGCATTGAGTACCATGCACAAAGAATGTTCAAATACTAAAAGTAGGTTCACAAAACAGACACAAAAAAGCTGTCTAAGATTCATGAGACATATCAAGTTTGCTATACCTCTAAACAATGGTGTTTTGCTTCACACTTTCTTACAAACCTGATCTTCCAAGTAACTATAAAGTTATTGTGCTGCCATATTCCAAGTACTGCCTCTAGTATCAGTTTGTTCTGCTGGGACATAGTCAGAATCTGTAACTGCAGACTTTCTTTGACCTCGAAGTGTGTGTGCATTCAGCATCTCCAGTAGCAAATCATAGACTGGAACCACATTTTTACACTTCATGCTCAGAAGGTGCTCCATACCTTTGTTACTGTGAACAGAAACAGTAACAAGTCAACACTCTGAAGTGATTTGAATACATTTAATCCGAGTGGGTTTTAGGGCTGGGAGGTAGTGAGACACATGTTCACAACTCAGAAGTCAACACACAGACATTTTCATCCTCATGGATTCTTAACAAACAGACCTGTTTTATTATTTTAATTCCACTTAAGGTGAGAGTTACATTTAAGGAATAGACTTGCTGAGGGTTATAGTGAGCATGACTGAGCACTGCAAGGAAATGCTTTTGTGGAAAAATCTGGGCTGGAAGGATTGTTGAGGTTCATCCTGCAAAGGGTAGCTTGGTGATAGAAGTCAGGGTAAGATCTTCATGCTTGTCTGCTGGCTGTTGGTGCCAGAACTATGAGCTACATTAGCATAGCATTTGAAGTACCCATAGTGCAAGGCTGGTGACTGAATCCCTTCCTGGCCTGGGTGAACCCCAAAGTGTCACACCATGGCAGATGAAAGGCTGAAAATGTTACCTGATTGCTAATGCACTAGGTCCACAGGATGGTATCTTCCTGGCACAGAGGAGGAGATATGGCTCCTCCCTGTATATCTAAAACATAGCTGACAGATGTTTACCTGCTCTTAAAATCTCCAGTGATGGAGATTCCACGACCTTCCTAGGCAATTTATTCCAGTGCTTATCCACCATGACAGCTAGGAAGTTTTTCCTAATGTCCAACCTAAACCTCCCTTACTGCAATTTAAGCCCATTACTCCTTGGCCTAACCTCAGAGGTCAAGGAGAACAATTTTTCTCCTTCCTTGTAACAACTTTTTATATACTTGAAAATGATTGTACTGTCCTTCTGCAAGTCTTCTCTTCTCCAGCCTAAACACACCCAGTATTTTCAATCTTACCTCATAAGTCATGTTTTCTAGACCTTTAATCATTTTTGTTGCTCTTCTCTGGACTTTCTCCAATTTGTACAACCCTTTCCTGAAATGTGGTGTTCAAAACTGAACACAGTACTCCAGTTGAGATCTAATCAGCAGAGAGTAGAGTGGAAGAATTACTTCATGTCTTTCTTACAATGATCCTGCTAATGCTTCCCAGAAAGATGTTTACTTTTTTTGCAACAATGTAATACTGTTGATTGTATTTAGCTTGTTGTCCACTGTGACCCTCAGATCCCATTCTGCAATACTCCTTCTAAGCTGTCATTTCCCATTGTATAGGTGTGCAATAGAGTTTTTCTTCCTATATAAAGTACTCTGCATTTATCCTTATTGAGTTTCATCCAATACTTCAAGACATTGTTCCAGTTTGTCCAAATCATTTTGAATTTTAATCCTATTTTCCAAAGCCCTTTTAACCCTTCCCAGCTTGCTATATTGTCTTCAAACTTTATACTCTGTGCCATTATCTAAATCATTGATTAAGATATGGAACAGAACTGATCATTGGAGGACCCCTTTTAGCATAACTAGAGCTGCCTGGCTGGGGGAGGAATCCTTCTCCCTCTGCTACAGCAGAAGCTCCCTGCTGAGGACAGAGTAGTGAGTCTCTCCCAGCCAGTAGGGACACCAAGCAAGAAGATGCATGGTAACTGCTGTTGCCATCAATCTAGTTGTAGTGGTCAATTCCGGAAGAACTTTGTATGTGTGAGGCCTGCATTCTTTCCCCCCTATCCTTTTTCCCTATATCTGATGAACCAGAAGCAAGTCTTTGGGAACATATGCCACTTAAGATAAGCATTGTTGCCAGTATAGTAAGAACAAGTATAAGATAAGGGTAAAGGGCAAGAACACATAAACAATTCTGTTTACCCTAACGTACTGATCATGTAAACCGGGCCAAAGGACAGGAAGATCCAGATCGATAACTAACAGCTAAGTTCTTCATCAGCACTAATGAGTAATCTCTGGAAATTTCCAAACTGCCAAACAAGGCAGGAAAACTGTATTTAAGGCTGCCTCAGAGACTAGCAAATTGGACTTCACCGATGGGCTTTGGGTACCGGCACCTCGGAAGCTGAGACAACCTCCCACTTCATCCGCAGCCTACCCAGGGTCCCAGGCTAACAGGAAGGGACGTAAGATATGCCACTTCTTTGTTATGTTGTTCTTCCATTTATGGGGCACAGCTGTTAGCTATCAGGAATTAAACTACTTGTGTTTGACAGATACCTGTGTGGCGTCCTTTGTATTTTGAGAGCCCAGTGTCAGACCTGAGACTTACTCTGGCCTGCTACACTAGTCCACAGTGTCTAATAAGCCTCTTGTACTCTCCTCAGTTGCTGTAACTCTGGGAAAAGCTGCTGAAGGATATGTATAGATGCACTCTAATCCCAGAGGGAGGCGGAGTTTGGTATCCATGTGTGTGGATGCAGATTTTTGGCAGAGTAGCTGAACAGTTTCTACAAGGCCTTCACTGATAGGAATTGTGAATCTTTCATGCAAAGACAAAATGCAAAATAGCCAATAATTAATGAGCCTTTTCCTGGACTGTCTATAAGAATTTCCAGGACTTTTGCCATTCTGCAAAGAAGGCCTTGAAATGCCCTGCAGGCATTCAGTGGAGGGAACAGCTTCTGGCAATGAATATGATATATGAGTTGGAATTGCACCAAAGCACCCATGGTTTCCTCCTCTTCTGGAAGTTGATCTGAGAGGGTTATTTTTGTGCCCTGACCAAATACTGTGACAAGAGTGACTGGGTTCTTTATGTGACTAAGGAGCTAGGTCTCCTTGTTTAATGAATGCTCCAAAGTGCCCAGGCAGACCCAAGAAAAGGACTATCTGGGTAATATGTAAATGGCCAAAGATTCTCTGTGTCTGCTCTGATTTCTAGTCATGGTTTCAGAATAGTAAGAATCACGAAGTAGCATTGTTGGAGAATAGGAAGGTGACCTACACCCATGAACATTAGAGGCAGCAGAAGAGTCGGAATACTATTCCTACAGGGGGGAGAAGCAGATTTCGCTGGAGGGAGAGGAGATGCCTTACTGGGCAGCGAATAGCCCTTGGTTCCAAAGCTTGTAATGAGGAAGCTTCACTGAGGAAGAAAGCAAAGGGCTGAAACATCACCTGACATAATGAATCTCAATGCCAATAGCATTGGTACCAAGAGGAAACTAAATATAATTGCCACTGGCGTGGCAGCACCAACGTACCTGGTACCAGAAGCATCAGATTTAGGGATGAGATTACCACATATCCATAGGTAGTATTGTAGAGTCCATGGTTTTAGCCTGAAACCAAGATCTAACTTCAGGATCTTACACGTGCCAGAGGGACCATTTGTTAGACCTCAAGCTGCCTTTTTTATAGCAGAAAAAGAAAACTGGTCTGTCTTTTGTTTCTCAGGCAATTTAGGCTATGTTTACACTATGAGCTCAGAGTATGATTTTCATGCTCGGGTACACATATTCATGCTACCTCCATAGCCATGTAGTTTCACTTGCATAGGCAGTGAAGGCATAGTCTAAGCCAGACAGCGTATAAACCCACGTGAAACCAAGGATGATAGCATGGTGAGCAGCTTATACAAGCCACCAGACCAGGAGGACGAGGTAGACAAGTCTTTCTTTGGAAAACTAACAGAAGTTTCCAGATCACAGACTCTGGTTCTCCTGGGGGACTTCAATCACCCTGGGAGAGCAATACAGCAAAGCACAAACAATCCAGGAGTGGGTATGAACTCAGCACAGCATGCTACCACAGTTGCTAGCTATACTGCTGTTAATACTCATGCTAACTTAGTGAAAACTCTTGTCACTAAGGGTACATCTACACAACAGTGTTGTTTCGGATGCTATAACTGATGGTATTCCGAAATACACTACAAGCCTTTATTTTGAAATAATGTGGAACTGGAGGACTTCTTACTCCAACTCATGATAACTCATTTCATGAGGGGGAAGGACAGTCGGCTGTGTAGACAACGCCAAAAGCTGAATTAAACTATTTTGAGTTAAGCTACGCAATTGACATAGTTCAAGTTGTATAGCTTAACTCAACTTTAGCCCTGCTGTGTAGATGTACCCTAAGGCTACATCTATGTTGCCAGTTTTTGTGGCAGAAAATATGCTGAGGGACTTGTTTGCATGGATTACAATCTCATTTGCATATTTTCTGCCGATCCATTTTTGCACTAGGGGTTTTTGCGCAAAAAGCAAGCAGTGTGAATGTTTCCTTTTTGTGCAAGATCGGTATACCACCTTTTTTGAGGCATAAGGATCTTGCGCAAAAAGGGGGTTTTGTGCAAAAAGGAAACGTCCACACTGCTTGTTTTTGTGCAAAAACCCCTTGAGCAAAAATGGATGGGCAGAAAATATGCAAATGAGTGTGACCCATGCAAATGAGTCCCTCATTAGCATATTTTCTGCCGCAAAGACTAGCAGTATAGCTGTAGCCTAAATGGGCACAAGCAGGGGAAGAACATCCCTAGCTCATAGTGTAGACATAGCCTCAGATGGAGACCTGCTTCGATTCTTTTTTGGACAAAGAGTTCTGAGACCTCCTTCTTGCATGGTGAGAGATAATTACCCCACCAGCAGCAGCTGAATATTTAGATGACGAAGCAGGAGCTCTAAAAGCAAAGGCAGAGGAAATAGCTGCTAGAACACTTTTTATGGAGGTCTGTTTGAAGCTCAGAGAATACCTCACCCAGGAGGAAGAACATTCTTTTATCTTGCCTCATTTTCATTGTCCATTTTAAAAACTAATGAAAATGCACATTTCTTGGTGATATGTCCCTCACTGAAAGAATAAACATTTTGAGTACCCATTATTCAGGAGAACAGTTGACAAACAATACTTAAAGCCAGAATATTACTGATCGACCATGAAGCTCAGGACTTACCATAGTTTAGGGCTAGATATTGTAAGAGAACTATGTACAAATACTAGTGGAGAAGGGAAAGTTCAAGAGCCAAACACACTGTTCTTTCAGTCCCATTTTGCAACCACAGACATTAAAAAGGAGCTGAAGGTCAGAGGGCATGTGGTGTGCAGGTGTGCTCCCACTCAGTGCTGCTGGCCAGAAATTTCTGATCTTGAACACAGAGGTCACATGTGCACCAGAAGTAACATACATATAGGATAGCACTCAAAGAAAATGTTTGTGTTCCACAAAAAATCTTAACTGAAGGCTGAGCAATTCAGGGAGATATAGTAGTGTCCCATGGAATGGGCACCTCTTGTCTTATGGAAAGCACTTACACATGCCCAGATATTTTAAACTACTCAGCAAAAGAATATTTGATTTTGAAAAAATGAACTAGTAAGAGATATCAGATCTTAGACCCAGAACTGACATGAATGCTAAAGCACACTTGACCTGTTGATCCACCAAACAGCACTGGCAATTTCAGAATGATTTTGAAAGAGACTCATTACTGTTCCTTTAGATAGAAGAAAAAAATAAAAGTGAAAGATGTGAAGTGCTAAAAAGAAATGAAAAGGATGTACTATTTGGGGATATGTATGTTATGGATTTATTTAAAATAATTATGGTTAAGATATACACTTGGGGTGGATGCAGTGTGCTGCATGTCAGAAAATGATTTGAGTATATTATTTAACGAATCCCATCAATTTAGAATAATCTTACAATGTGTACCCTAAAAGGATGATACCAGGATTTTTGAATGGAGATTTCAAGAGCCTGGTCAAATTTCGTTGTTGTAACAACAAATATTAAAACCTGAAAGAGTTACATCATTCTGTAATACCTTGCATGCCTGACATGAGAAAGTAACATCAACAAGTTAGCCATGCGAGTTGTCTGTTGCTGAGAGGGGATTCCACTCTTTGAAATAACCCACACCAAAGCATCAATTACTGTATTAAGCAAGTGATGTAGCTTCCTGTTGCTTTCAGGTTCTTCTGTTGCAGCTGATAATGAAAACATACCTACACAAAGAGAAGAAAGAAAAGCATTACAACGCAGCACAAAAAAAACATGGATTTTCTTTAGATGTAACTTTTCAATAAAATGAAATCTAATACATGCCAAGTCTTATTGAATTATGTTATGATATTTCACATTGATCTCTATCGCTGACAGAAGCTTTTTTCATCAATTCTGTCATGCCATTTGCATACTTACTATCCCCATCTGAAAACTGCATTATCAACAATTGGTTTCTAATATCTACTAAAGATACAGGCCCAGATTGTTTGATGAACTTCACTTATTACGTTTGCAGTTTCCAATTTTGGACAGCCCCATGGGTTACTCCGCCGTTTTGTTTAAGTAATTGTGGCTACTCTAACAACTTCCTCCCACCGTTGAAAGATCTCCTATACAGTATGGGATCAGGAGCAAAGTACATAACTGGTTTAAACACTTTGCTGGATTAGGGCTTTAATACTTATCCAGCAATTGAAGAAGGCATTATGCATGAGGTACAGCCAACTCCTTGGCTCTGTCCACTCAAGCCTCCTTACAAGCTAGAAATTTGTCATAATTCTAGCATAATCTGTGAAATGTTAAAAGATGCATTAAGAACAGAAACAAAACAAATGTCTGAGAACACTATGGGAGGAGCAGGCAAGCAAGTGGTTGAAACTAGCATTATTGATGGAGCAGAGACCAGTGTGACAAAATAAATTGGGAAGGGGCAGAATGATGAAGGGCTTGAAACTTATGACATGAATCTTGAACTTAGTATGGTGAAAGAACAATGCAGGAATTCTCAAAAGAAAGGCAGGGTCAGAGAGGATGGATGGATGAAAGATTATCTTAGTGGCTACATTTTGCATGGATTGGAGAAAGGCAATGTGGACATTCGGAAGACCAGAGAGGAGGCTTCAGTATTCAGGACGAGAAATGAAGAGGACTTGGAAGAGAGTTAGCTGCCTGGATAAAAAGACAACATTGACTTACAGAAATACTATGGAGAAAATAGTAGCAATTTTGAAGCCACCATGGATGTGTGTGGCTAGAGAATGGCCGGGGTTGAAGATTAGATTTGGTCACATTTGGAACTTAAAAAAAAACCAACAACACAGCAGCAGTTTGCTATGAGGCAAACCTTGATGTAGCATGCTACTTAAAAAAAAAATTATTTCAATGAAGCTCCATAAGATTAGTTTCAATCTGTAAACATGAAGAATGTTCCTATTTGAAAGCCATAATCACAAAGTGAATCAATCAAGAAACTGACTTGTTGAAGCCACAAAACCAAGGCAGCAAACCGGCTAAAGAATATACAGCTGTGCTGCTGGATAGTTACATGATTGGAGAAAAATAAAATCTACTGTGAAACAACAAGCATCCCTTCATACTGAGGTGCCTGCACACAAATGCAAGAAGCATGGGAAACAAACAGGAAGAACCAGAAGTCCTAGAACCATGAAGGAATTATGGTGTGATTGGAATAACAGCGATGTGGTGGGGTAATTCACATGACTGAAGTACTATCATGGATGGTTATAAGCTGTTCAGGAAGGACAGGTAGGGGAGAAAAGGTGGAGGAGTTGCAATACATGTAAGAGAGCAGTGTGATTTCCCAGATCTCCAGTATGAAACTGGAGAAAAGCCTGTTGAGAGTCTTTGGGTATGTCTAGACTACATGACTCCATCGACGGAGCCATGTAAACTAGTTTACCCGGCATAGGCAAAGAAGCCGGGATTTAAATAATCCCCGCTTCATTAAAATAAACATGGCCACTGCGCTGTGTCGACGATCACCTGATCCAGCACAGCGCGGTAGTCTAGATGCGGATCTGTTGGCTGGGGAAGCCTTTGCTGACCGATCCCTTATGCCTCGTGAAACGAGGTTTACAGGATCGGTTGGCAAAGGCTTCCCCAGCCGACAGATCCGCGTCTAGACTGCCGCCCTGTGCCCGGCCCCGCTGTGCCGGATCAGCTGATCGTCGGCACAGTGCGGCGGCCATGTTTATTTTAATGAAGTGGGGATTATTTAAATTCTCGCTTCTTTGCCTATGCTGGGTAAACTAATTTACATGGCTCTGTCAACGGAACCACATAGTCTTTGGGTTAAGATTGAAGGCAAGAGCAACAGGGATGATGTATCATGGTGGGCATCTGATATAGGGCCCCAGACCAGAAGGATGAGGTAGACAAGTATTTCTTTGGAAAACTAACAGAAGTTTCCAGATCACAGATCCTGGTTCTCATGGGGGACTTCAATCACCCTGACATTTGCTGGGAGAACAATACAGCAACGCACAGACAATTCAGGAAGTTTTTGGAGTGTTTGGGACTACTTCCTGGTGCAAGTACTGGAGGAACTAACTCTTGACCTATTGTTCACAAGCAGGGAGGAATTGGTAGGGGACGTGGAAAAGGGTGGTAACTTGGGCAGCAATGACCATGAGATAGTTGAGTTCAGGATCATGACAAAGGGAAGACAGGAGTGTAGCAGAATACAGACCCTGTACTTCAGGAAAGCAGACTATGACTCCCTCAAGGAACTGATGGACAGGATCCTTGGGAGGCTAATACAATGGGGGAAAGGAGTCCAAGAGACCTGGCTATATTTTCATAGAATCATAGAATCATAGGACTGGAAGGGACCTCGAGATGTCATCGAGTCCAGCCCCCCGCCCTCAAGGCAGGACCAAGCTCTGTCTAGACCATCCCTGACAGATGTCTATCTAACCTGTTCTTAAATATCTCCAGAGAGGGAGATTCCACCACCTCCCTTGGCAATTTATTCCAATATTTGACCACCCTGACAGTTAGGAATTTTTTCCTAATGTCCAATCTAAACCTCCCCTGCTGCACTTTAAGCCCATTACTCCTTGTCCTGTCCTCAGAAACCAAGAGAAACAAATTTTCTCCTTCCTCCTTGTGACACCCTTTTAGATATTTGAAAACCACTATCATGTCCCCCCTTAATCTTCGTTTTTCCAAACTAAACAAGCCCAGTTCACGAAGCCTGGCTTCATAGGTCATGTTCTCTAAACCTTTAATCATTCTTGTCGCTCTTCTCTGTACCCTTTCCAATTTCTCCACATCTTTCTTGAAATGTGGCGCCCAGAACTGGACACAGTACTCCAGCTGAGGCCTAACTAGTGCAGAGTAGAGCGGCAGAATGACTTCACGAGTTTTGCTTACAACACACCTGTTAATACAACCTAGAATCATATTTGCTTTTTTGGCAACAGCATCACACTGTTGACTCATATTCAACTTGTGGTCCACTATGACCCCTAGATCCCTTTCCGCCATGCTCCTTCCTAGACAGTCGCTTCCCATCTTGTATGTATGGAACTGATTGTTCCTTCCTAAGTGGAGCACTCTGCATTTCTCCTTATTAAACCTCATCCTGTTTACCTCTGACCATTTCTCTAACTTGCTAAGGTCATTTTGAATTATGTCCCTATCCTCCAAAGAAGTTGCAACCCCACCCAGTTTGGTATCATCTGCAAACTTAATAAGAGTACTCTCTATCCCAATATCTACATCATTGATGAAGATATTGAACAGTACGGGTCCCAAAACAGACCCTTGAGGAACTCCACTTGTTATCCCTTTCCAGCAGGATTTAGAACCGTTAACAACAACTCTCTGACTACGGTTATCCAGCCAATTATGCACCCACCTTATCGTGGCCCTATCTAAGTTATATTTGCCTAGTTTATCAATAAGAATATCATGCGAGACCGTATCAAATGCCTTACTAAAGTCTAGGTATATGACATCCACCGCTTCTCCCTTATCCACAAGGCTCGTTATCCTATCAAAGAAAGCTATCAGATTAGTTTGGCATGACTTGTTCTTCACAAACCCATGCTGGCTATTCCCTATCACTTTATTACCTTCCAAGTGTTTGCATATGATTTCCTTAATTACCTGCTCCATTATCTTCCCTGGGACAGACGTTAAACTGACCGGTCTATAATTTCCTGGGTTGTTCTTATTCCCCTTTTTATAGATGGGCACAATATTTGCCCTTTTCCAGTCTTCTGGAATCTCCCCTGTCTGCCATGATTTTTCAAAGATCATAGCTAAAGGCTCAGATACCTCCTCTATCAGCTCCTTGAGTATCCTGGGATGCATTTCATCAGGACCTGGTGACTTGCTGACATCTAACTTTCCTAAGTGATTTTTAACTTGTTCTTTGTGTATCCTATCCAATAAGACTTTTAAGTGAGTCTTATTGAAGGCATAGGAATAAATCATCCCAACGTGCAGAAAGAGTAATAATTATGGCAGGTGACCAACTTGGCTTACAAAGAAATCTTTGGTGAGCTTAAACACAAAAAGAAGTTTACAAGAAGTGGAAACTTGGACAGATGACTAGAGGAGTATAAAAACATTGCTCAAGCATGCACAAGTGTAATTGGAAAGGCCAGATTGCAACTGGATTTGCAGCTAGCAAGGGATGTGAAGGGTAACAAGAAGGATTTCTTCAGGTATGCTGGCAACAAGAAGGTCAGGGAATGTGCAGAACACTTACTCAATGTGGAAGGCAACCTAGTAACAGACTATGTGGGAAAAGCTTAAGTACTCAATGCTTTTTTTGCCTTAGTCTTCACAGGCAAGGTCAGCTCCCACACTGCTGTACTGGGCAGCACAGTATTGGGAGGAGAGAGCACTTTAAGACTTTTGAGTCCCTTTACCAGGTTTTATCCTGGAATACATCCCATAAATATCTATCTAATAATAATATTACCTAGAACTTGACTGAATAAACCAAACAAAAAGCCACTTACAATGTTAGCAACAAAATGCACTTTTATTTTTAATGGTTCATGTATCTTTTGATATTTTTGCCAAGTTTAGACACTGATTTTTTCCCCAAAATAGACAACACAATTTGACATACCAGAAGGGTAAATATATACTCACTGGAATTGAGAAGAATCATAGCCTTAACACACAGATACTCCTTGTGTTGTAATTTCAGCTCTCGAAATCTAGACGTTGTGGCTAGGAGCATATCAAAGATTTCCAGAATTCCTTCTACACATTTCCCTTCATCCCTATATAAACACAGAACAAAGAGATGATCCCCCCGGCCAAAAAGAGGTTACCATTTAAGTATTAATTAAAGACAACAGGGGGAAACAGAAATGGAAGTACAAGGAAACAATTAGACAATATTGGTCAGCCTGGTTGACAGTAATCTCAGCTCACTTCCCAGCTTGTCGTCAAGTTTTTTAGTAGGCATCATAGCAAAGGAGAGTGTTACGAAGGGATCTGAGGAAGGACACATTATCATTGATTTAAAAGAGAAAAAAGTGAATGTTACAAATAACTATTTGTTTGAGAAGGTACAGTCTCTGCAATAACTGAACATGTCCGTATTCACTGACTACATATAATTATTGGAAACCTTTTTTAAAATGTACAGATTACTCTTAATGTCTACTGACCAAGGTGCTGCCTTACTTTGCAGAAATAAGGGAAATGTATGTAACAGACAACTCATATTCAGTACATACCTGCTTCTATAAAAATCCAATACATAGTACATTTTTCTTAGAAATGTCTTTAACATTGTCTTGAACAACAAAGCACATATGTGAAATGATTTTATGTAAGTAAATAATCATTTATGCCAAAATTTGTTTCCTTTGCTATAGATCCAGTATTGCCTTTTAACTGTCTGCAGCCTATATGATGCTTTGTATCTGACACATTACCATTACCAATCTGAATTTTTGCTTTTTTCCCCCCATAGGTCCAAAGTGCTTAAGAAACAATATTTTAGAGCCAGGTAGGAGAGTAGATTGCTTCTTTAGCTTTTCACCTTTGGGAAACTAGAGCTCAAAGTATGCTTAGGTCTTGCGGAGAATTGTTCATATTACATCCCATCCAACTGGTGCACTCTGCTATGCAGATATCTGCAAATGGTAATATGGTCACTTGTAACATATGGAATTAATTCAACTGAAGAAAAGATTTCCATATTGATTTTATTTTATTCACACATAACTTCACTAGCTTTGCAACACCTGTTATTTTTGCTATATTTAGAAAAATCAATGAACTGTAATGATACTCTAAGTGGAGAAGATGCTATAGAAGTATATTCAGGTAGGGATTTCATGCTATGATTTGGTAAAGTATCTAGTTTTTCAGTTGGAAGCTAGTAGCTAGAAAAACTAATTTTAATTTTTAAACTCTGTTTTTAAAATTTTTGGCAAGTCTCTAGAGCTCTGGAAAGACACTAAAGAAATCAACAACTACTGGTATATTGAACATGATAATCATTTGTTCCAGGACTGATTACGGAACTCACAAGTCTGATCCACCAGACTATATTTTTTGCCTAGAGATCTACTGGAGAAACTAGGGACCTCATGACTTTATTTTTACAGTATCATTTACTTAAACTTTTAATTGTGAAATGTTAATAACATCCCTAATGATTATATTTTCCCATTTACCATAAACTGAAATTAAACATACATTAAAAGAGACTACTTTTTCCTCACCTGTCTAATACAAGATCTGGTGCAAAAATTAGTTTGCCAGGATAATCAATCGACCTCCACATCAGACCCATCATTAAAACTTCCATCCAACAACTCTCCAAGAGCCTCACTTGGTCATACAGACTGAGCTCTATGAAGCCTACAACAATTAAAATAGTAGCATCAGAGCTGTCCACATATTTGTTTCATTATTTCATAACAAATAAAATGCAAAAAAGAATACAGAAAATATCTCAGACACTAGAAGAAAATAGTCATAAGTTTTATGCTGTGGAGAAAACTTATCACAAACCAGTTTTAAAGTTATGAGATAGCATATCTGTGCTATTGCTTTTGCATGTAGGATGAAATAACGCTCTATGCACAAAGCCATCTCTAGGTCTAAACATTTCACTGTGCAAGGTACATTTCTATTAGCAGTAGCAGAGTATAATTCATTAAATTCTAGTAAGTATCATTCTATCCTAATAGGACATTGCTGGGGTACAGAGGATAATTAAGACAGAATATCAGATATAAATAGAGGAGAAAGAATATACAAAGGGTATGTCTGCACTTGCACCCTCTTTCGAGAGAGGGATGCAAATGAAGACATTCAAAATTGCAAATGAAGCCGGGATTTACATATCCCAAGCTTTATTTGCATAGTCGCGTTATGGCGCTATTTTGAAATAACAGACGCTGTTAAGATGTGGTTATTTCAAGAGAAAACCCTTCTTTCTAAATAACTGGTAAACCTCATTGTGTAAGAAATAAGGGTTATTTCAAGAGAAAGGTTTTCTCTCGAAATAACCGCATCTTAACAGCATCTGTTATTTCAAAATAGCGCTATTTCAAAATAGCGCCATAATGCAAATATGCAAATGAAGTGTGGGATATTTAAATCCTGGCTTCATTTGTATCCCTCTCTCAAAAGTGCAAGTGTAGACATACCCGAAGGGAATTAACAAGGGGTAGATAAAATGTACTGAGGCTCTAAAATCGAAGAGAGACAAACAGCACAAGGGGCTATACTAGTGGTCCAATGTCAATGCGCATATGTTCACACCCAAGCTGCTGAAGCCTTTTCAAACCTAGGTATCTATAGTTAGTCAATTAAACAAGATGCTTTACTTCCAAACAGCTTAACACCTATAATTCCTCTAAAATCTCAGAGTGGAAAATCATGAAGTAACCTGGCCAATGGCCATAGATGCAGTTTATTCCTAGCCCCTTTCAATCAGACAGGTGGTCTTCACTGATTTGGCTGGGAAGCTATCAATTGCTGGCACTTCAGTTGCCTCTCCATCCACTGTTATCCTGCTCCTGCTCCTGCTCCTGCCTTGGAGCTTCCCCCTGGGAGCCTCCTGCTTGCTGTGCAGGGTGTGGGAGGGAGAAGAGGGGAGCCTCCTCCCCACACTCCTGTACCCCATCTCCACACAGAGAGAAGGGGATGGAGGGAGCTTGGCAATGCAAATCTCTGTCAGTCTCACACATTGTGTGTGTCTGTGTCATTCTCACAAACACCAACTGTCCTGCACTCTCATCTGCTGATCCAACACATACATGGGGGTCTGTTATTTCTTGTATTGCTTGCAAAGTGGGTTATTTTGGTTTTGGACTGGTCTGTGCATTTCATCATTTTCATTTCTCTCTTATGCTTAAATTTAATTCTTTGAGTAGTAAGTTCTAAAATGCCTAACCTGTTGTGGCTGGAGTAATTATCCCTGTGGTAAGTGCTGCTCCTGGAAGTGGCTGGCATGTCCCCGTAGTCCCTGAGAAAGGCTGTGGGTCTCCACATGCTGTCCTTACCTACAGGACACCGCTCCTGCAGCTCCCATTGATCAGTAATGGGGAACCAGGACCAGTAGAAGCTGTGGGCTCAGGGCCTGTAGATGAGGGGCAGCACATGGCACCATGGAGCCATTGCTGTACATGCCAGATGCTTTCAGAAGTTCAGGCGTGTCCCCACCATGGGGAAGTCTCAAAATTAGCCCAAGGCAGGCTCCATTATTGAAGACACGCTACCTTGACTTAGAGCCCCAGGAAGCACGGGGGAGTAATTATTCTGAATGATTCTGGGAAGTAGTTATTTTGAAATAGCCACACCAGAGCATCCACACCACACTACCACCATTTCAAAATAACTATTTTGAAATTAGCATTATTCCCTGAGAAAAGCAGGAGTACAGATTGCAAAATAAGTGGCCCATTATTTCAAAATAATGGGTTTGGTAATATGGACACTCTGCTTATAAATTTAGCCCTAAGGGGGGTTATTTTGAAATAAAGCCATAGTGTAGACCCAGGCTTAGTAGTAAGCACTATGCCTGTTTGTCAGTTTGGCTGTGTCTAGACTACATGCCTCTATTGGCAGAGGCATGTAGATTAGACAGATCGGCAGAGGGAAATGAAGCCGCGATTTAAATAATCGCGGCTTCATTTAAATTTAAATGGCTGCCCCGCTCTGCCGATCAGCTCTTTGTCAGCAGAGAAGGGCAGTCTAGACATTCCCCTGTCGACAGAAAACCCTTCTGTCGACCGCCCCGGTAAACCTCATCCCACGAGGCATAACGGGGCGGATGACAAAAGGGTTTTCTGTCGATGGGAACGTCTAGACTGCCCCGCTCTGCC